CTGTGTGACATAAATGTCTCATAGTGTCATCTGCAAACTTCAGGATTTTGACAGAGGGGTCTGTGGAGGTGCAGTCATTAGTGTGCAATGAGAAGAGCAGTGGGGAGAGCAGACAACCTTGGGGGGCACTGGTACTGATCGTTTGAGTTGCCGGATAAGAATTTTCCTAGCCTCACCTGCTGTTCTGTGCCTCTGAGGAAGCAGGTGAAGTGCTGGCAGGTAGGTGAAGGCAGGGACGCTGAGCTGTGGAGCAATTCCAGAAAAATAGTATTAAATGTAGAGCTGAATTCTAAAAACGACCTGTTGGCCTGATATGCAAACTGCAGAGGGTCTGTGGTGTCCTTTGGTTTTGTTAATACCAGTTTCTCAAAGGATTTCATGATTTCAGAGGCTAGGCTGATGGGTCTGTAATCATTTAGTCCTGTGAAGGCTGCTTTTTTTTCTGGTGTTTCCCTTGCTTTAACACAGCTGATCCAACTGATCAGCTATTTCACAAGCTGTTCCTGAGTCAAAGTGGATCCAGGTGTGGAAAACACTATTGTTGTATTGATAGATCATGGTGCCTTCATGGGAATGGGTTAGATATTCTGAGTAGTGCCAAAATAATCAAATTGGATCATATTGAAATGTGTGATTTTATGATGATTAAACGATTTCCTAAATAGCTGTAACTGGATTGACCTGTCAGTGCTCTGCCCACGTATGTTTTCTTTTGTAGAAAGCCTTGTGAGTTTGGGTGATTTTTACAGAACATGGGGAAAAATCTCAATCAGCCTAGTGAATTTAAGTTGGAGTTTAGAGTCACTACATAATGTTGAGTTTTCAGTTTGAGGTGCTGTGCTACTGAGCAGGAATAGCTAATTGAAAACAGGCAGATTGGAAAAATAGATTAAATTAGAATTTTATGTTTTGACAAAAAACAAAATTTTGTGCTGCAGTTTCTCGTCGGTTCTCAGGTTGGATTTTTGTCAGTGTTCTGTAAAACTTGTCTAACCTGGTTACAGTTGCTACACAAGGATGCTTTTGTGAGCAGAGTGGTTTGGCCAATTAAATTACAGTTCTCATAGCCAGTTATGTAGTATACACAGACAGAGTTAGGGGATTCCACTGACGTGTGGTGGTGTAGTAGTGTCGAGGTGGGTATAGATGGACATACTGTGCTATCCAAGGGATCTTGTGTGCATCCATGTGCTGCAAATACATTTCCCCTCTTTTTCTTGGATGCATATAGCTATATTAGCTCTAACTGAAAAACAATCATCAGTATAACGTAACATGTTAAAGAAGCCAATATAACACTATGAAAATACATTTTTTGTTAAGTGCGTTCCTTCATGTATAAAGTGCAAGTAACACTGTAAGATGTAGCTTAAACCTTCTTCACAAATTCAAATAACGTGCTTTACTGTGTTTGCTTCATTCCCATCCTACTACTGCAATAGGTTAACTAGCAAGCTACATAGCATTACATTAGTTTTGGCAATTACCAAGTTTTATCAGTGACTATAGAGCACCACAGCAGGAAAAGAATGACATGATGCATACTGGTTATATGACTCATGATAGGAAGAGCCTAAAGTCTTTGCTCTTGACAAGGTTTAGGTTTGTTCATCTCTATTCAACACCAACCAATTTACCTCTATTGAACTGTTGACACTGATTTATTAATATCCGTTGACAACTCTATTGGCTAACTAGCTAGGTGCAAATATGTGGCTCTGAGTACATTTAACAACAGCCAGTTAGCAAAACAGCAGGTTAAGCATCATTATGTTTATTGTTACACAAGTCAAGTCAAGTCAAATTTATTTATATAGCGCCTTTTACAACAGATGTTGTCACACAGCAGCTTTACAAAGAATCCGGGTCCACGCCCCCAGTGAGCAAGCCTTGGCGACAGTGGCAAGGAAAAACTCCCTCAACAGGAGGAAGAAACCTTGAGAGGAACCAGACTCAAAAGGGGAACCCATCCTCCTCTGGTCGACACCGGATAAGAGGACAGACACAAAACAGTATAAGTGGATACAGTTTACACAAGGCTGTCAAATTCAGTAAAAAAGTATTTACATGGAATAGGGCCAAATGTTTGACAGTCATGGCGTAAGCAACAAAATGCTTTGGAATAACTTTAGATGTAACAGGATAAATAACCACAAATAGTCTAGGCTACTTTAAGGTTGAGGCATAGTTTATAAATTCATTTAGGTATTTTAGTTTAAATTAAATCATCACTAAACTGTTGAAAGGACTCATACTCACTTAAATTATCGTTGAAGTTGATAGAATGAAACAAGTAGGATGTGCCACTTAACACGCCACCAAGTGCAATGGACAAGCTACAAGCTTCTATAGTTATTCTAACAATTTGTCCTTTTTTCTAATGTTTTGCTGTGTTTTTATTGTTAATTCAGCCTTACTTCAAGTGTATTTTGCAGACTCTTTTACTCTTTAATGTCATGAGCTCTGATAAGGTGATTTAGGCAGTCAAAATATCATACCTATAGTTTTGATGCTGGAAGCATTTTCTGATAAGGTGAATTTAGGTGAATCAGAGCATCCTACCTATAGGTTAATGCAGGGGCTTCTTATAAGCACGCGCTATGGTAGGACATTCAACAACATAGGACAATTCGTCAGAACACCAGTCCAATTTAACCCTTGCCTGAGTATATGTAGTACTACACCGCTGGTCAGGCTGTAACCTCCGATTACTCTCCGTTGAGTGCAGGGGTGTGTGTGTGTGTGTGTGTGTGTGTGTGTGTGTGTGTGTGTGTGTGTGTGTGAGATGCAGCCTGCTGTCTGCCGCTGCCCCAGGCTCTCCAGCTGTTGCATCAGTCTTGATGGCATCAGCACAGAGAAGAGCCTGTGCTTTACTGCTCTTAACCACAGGCATGGAGAAAGCAGTGGATTAGCTCCATGGCTGTCAAATTAAAACCTGCAGGGCGTGAGTGGTGTGACTGTGCGTGAGTGTGTAAAATCTCCCAGGAAGGGGAGGTGGGGGTGGGTGTGTGACTGTGATGTGGAGGGTTGAAGCATGCGTGTCCGTCCCTGTCACTCACCGCTCCAGCCGTGCAGTAACGCTGCGTCTCTTGCACAGCCGATTCTCTATGCTTCAGTTTAACACGCCGCTCTTCGTGTCCCAGCCTGTACGCTTGCATCAGACACACACCAGCATTAATGCGTTTGATTTGTCACCGTGTCTGAGCTGCCTGTGCCTCGCCTGCCTTTACCAGATGCCATAAAGATACGTGAGAAAAGTGACATGCATTTCATAGTTTGGTTAGAACGTTCTGGCTGAAAGAAAGCAGAAATGAATTTGTATTAATGTGTGAACACTGTGATTCAGCAGATCTGAGGGTCAGATTACAAGGCGTGGTGGCCATTTAATGAAGGCTCATCATGACTACAGCCCGAAATATGTGTTGTTTACAACTTACTATAATTCTGAGTCTTTTAAAATGTTATGAATACACAGAGCTCCAAAAGAGCGCCTCCAGCAGAGACATTCAATAACAATCATCTGATCTGTTACACTGTTGCAAAACCCCTATTCAGATCTTTCTATCTGTCTACCTCTTTCTGTCTATCTCTATTTTTGTCTATCTCTGTGTAGAACTGTCTGTCTATCTGTCTATCTGTTTCTCTGTCTGTATCTTTTCTGTCTGTTTCTTTATCTGTCTGTTGGTCATTGTGCCTGTTTATCTATCTGTGTGTCTGTCTTTGTTTTAGTCTGTTTAGTCTGTCTAAATAGCTGCTATTTTAAATCATATCTTTATGTTTTAAACAGAGTTGCATAAAATTATGTTGCATGTGTTTTTATTTTTATTGAAAGTGCTATATGAGTATAAACTGTGTTGAATGTTGCACATTGTAAGTGAACACTGAGAGGACTTCCCATTGATAAAGGGGCTTTCCGATCAGTGAAGTTTTCTGGTTTAAACACTATAAAAGCCTTCTTTTAATGATGTAGTTTGAAGGTGGGAGAAGCTTTTCAAAAAACTGCTGGTGAGCTATTTATTCTCCACTACCTGGCTATGGCAGAAGGATAGATAACATTACTGCTAGTAAGACAAACAGCACTGGAGGTTCTCAGTGCTTGGATCAGACAATATATAGTGAGAGGAATTGCCACTGTCTTCCAGGTTTGTCAAACACTAGAGGGCGTTCCTGAGCGAGTCCAACATGAATGGTCTTCTAAGGAGCTTTGTGCAAAATCATAGTTTACAAAATTAATTTAATTAATACACTAGTTTTCTGAACACAGAACAGCATGCAGTATTTCAACACTGCTGTAATATTTATAAATGCTTTTCAACTCCAGTTACAGGACTATAACAGTGCCTCATTGACCTTAATGACTTTTGTGAGCGCAAACTGCTTCACTCGGCCAATGAACTGGCCAACTTGCCAACCAATCAGCACTCAGTAGCAGTAATGCTAATGTCCTACTGCCCAAAACCTGTTTGCTATAGAAAAACAGAGGTTTTCTATTATTATTTTTTTAATAGGTTACATCCTTCTACTTTCCAAAATTAAAGGATGTTTTCACACAAGTGTTTAGAAATATATTTAATTTTTATTTTTAGCCATTTAGCTCATTTTCCCCCATTCACTGAGAACTCGCAAGCTTTTTTTTTTTGTTTGTTTTTTTGTTTTTTTACATTATGTGAAATAGGAAGTGGCCAGGCTCCCTTGGCTGTAAGACATATTTTCATAATGCATGCTAGGTACTGTACACTCTTTAAAAAGGTGGTTCTTCAAGGGGTTCTTTAGTAAAGACAGGGGGTGCTGTATTAACACCAAAAAAGGTTCTTCTCTTGTTACTGTTACTTATTGTACTGTTATTGTTACTTATTGTTATTGTTGTTGCTTGACATCTTAACAATAGCAGAACCTTTTTTTGGTGCTGTGTAGAACCATATACAGCACATTCTCCATCAATCTGAAGAACCGTTTTCTCTCTCTCTCTCTCTCTCTCTCTCTCTCTCTCTCTCTCTCAGCTGCCGTCATAAGCAGTGGAGGACAGATCTGCCAGCGTCCAGTGTGGTGATCACATTCCATAATGAAGCCCGCTCTGCTTTGTTGCGCACTGTGGTCAGGTGGGTCTGCCTGTTGGCCTCCAGCATTTTTCAGCATTCTTCCCTCCTTTGCTGTTGTGCTCAGTGCTTTCTGCTGTGTTCATATCTATATTAAAATAAATAAAGTATGGTATATTAATCGAATAGCTGCAGCTGCAGAGAACACCATGTTATTTCCAGCCATACAAATTATACAAAGTCAACAGTATGAGACATTTTCACTGGAGTTTGTAAACCAATATGAGAGTTTTCATAATTCTGCTATATATGTTTCAGAAATATTATGAAATATGCTGTGTTTATGCAGACGTATGTATGCCAGAAGTTTGATGTAACTGGACCTTTGAAAGTTTTAGCCCTGCTCTATTGCTATGTCCTATAAGAACCTTTGAACCTTGAACCTTTCCCCACAGCGTACTGAAGAAGAGTCCTCCCCACCTGGTCAAGGAGATTATCCTTGTGGACGACTACAGTGACAACCGTAAGTGTCCTGTCTGTAGCCCTGAAACCTCACCTGCATTCACATCTCTATGATAAAACTAGCTTTATCATTCAAAGTTAAGCTTTATCTGTTATGTCCTGACGTTACTTGATTAGAAGGCTGGAGAAATGCATGGAGGGAAATCTACTGCTCTGTATTGTGGAGCTTACTTTCTATGCACGGCTGTTGGGGTATCCACCATTGTTCAGCACTTTTGATCGTACTCCATTTCACTCTTTGTCTCACAGCTGAAGACGGGGCCTTACTCGGGAAAATCGAGAAAGTCCGAGTCCTTCGGAATGATCGGCGAGAGGGTGAGTGTTTTACCCGCAATGCACAGGACACTGTGGTATGTCCTCCAAATTGTGTGTGTGTGTGTGTGTGTGTGTGTGTGTGTATAGATGATATGTGTATGTATATATATATATATATATATTATATATATATATATATATATATACACACACACACATTTTAAATATATATGAAAATGCACTTTCAATATCTATTATAATTTGTAGAAAAACATTACCGGATAATGACACCAATGATTATGAAGGTTATGCTAAACTGTACAGCTGTACTTAATATGCTGAGTCATTTAATGAACGTTCATGAGTAGATTGCAGTCTACTGAAGTGTGCAATTTCAATGCCAAAGTGGCTCTGTAATTGTCTTTGATATATTAAAATAACATAGCATATAATTCTTACTTATGACTGATTCATTCCTTCTACTGTGTAGTCCTGGCCGTCCACTGAAATGAAGATTGTAACAGTTTAAGCTCTAGACCAATATGCCATTATTATAGCACAGGAAAACTTTTTCCAGATGATTGCTGTGGTGATTTTTAAGAGCACTGTGTAATTTCATAGGGGGGCTAAGGGGCAGAAAGGTTTATAGCAGGCATAGAACTAGAGCCGGTGTGCATTTATAATAAACTCGTAAAAGCCCTGACTCAGCTCTAAATGGCTGCATGTAGTTGTGCAACCTATGAATATGACTTAAGAATTTTAACAGATTCTTTCTAACATTTCCGCTGTTTTACCTGCCTAGATTGCTAGTTAACATTCTAGCCAAATTTGCCTAATTGATCAGATTAATAGATGAGACTCCAGTTAAGCCGACCTTCAAAAAGCCGTCTCTTGATTTGATACCTTTATTGTCATTCCCCTTTAACGTCATACCTTCTGTACGAGCATGAACCTTATGAAAACACTCTAGTCCACTCTATTGAAGTGTTTGGATAGAACAGAACAGCTGAAAAATAAATGGTCTATTATGAGAGTGAGTGTATTTTTGGAAGGTGTTATGAGTATCTGTCCAGCAAGAAAATGCAGTTTTGCAGCCAAAAAAAGACCTGCTTATTGTTCTCCTCTCCCTTTCAGCGTTGGCAAAACAAACTTCCTTTAGTTGCAGACAGGCAGTTTTGGCCCTCTGAGTTGCACTAAGGTTAAACCAAGGCACTTATAAACTTTACATTATTATTTTAAGTCTTGATTAATACTACTTTGTCTAAATCAAAATGGAAAGAGGCAACAACTAAAGCTTTAACTGGGCCTGAAATTTTGATTAGAATCCAAATATAGTCTGAAAAGGTTAGACGGTGACCAGCACCGTAAAGAGCTGCTTGTTTTTAGCCTAGCTTTAAACCTTATTTTAAGACTTACTTTTTTTTTATTTTATACTTTTTCTTTTAAGATTTGTATTTATTTATTTATTTTTTTTTTATCTATTTTGTTAATTGTTAATATTTTTGTAAAATGCTTATGTGAGGAGGACTAGGACATCGAGACACTCAGTAAATAACTGGAATCAATGCAAGGCACTGCTGGAATGTCAGCCTCAGCTCCACACATCGAAAACTCGCCTCAGGACGGCCCTCGGGGCCTCATGTGTAGCTGGACAGATTGCCCAGACTTGTGGAAGGACATGGGGAAACGCGGTGCACTGGGCAACAGGGCCACCTGCGCCTGGGCAACTTCCATGCTGAGCAGAAGTCACTTAAACCAGGCAAGACCTCTGAAACTTATGCTGGGGACTCTCGTGGTAACGCTCACGCCTATGGAAAGTGGAGTCTAGGAATGCCAGCATCACAGAAGACGGCCTGGATCTCCACTGCCTTAGCCTGAACTCACCACAAGCAACAGATTCAAAGTACTGGGCTCCTCCCTTGACCAGTGTTTTAGTAATTGGCGACGCAGTTGTGCGGAACCACACTCCAGCTAAAGGTCTGTTTTATGCCTCGCTGGTGCTCGAGTCATAGATATTGCAAAACACTGCACACTATTTTCAGTAAGTATAAGGATACTGGTGCTGTTGTTGTGCATACAGGAGTAAATGACACACGAGATAGAAAGAGGAACAAACAACAGCCAGAGATGTAGTTTCTGGCCCACTACCAACATTTAGCAGAGGAAAGGAGATTTTGAGCAGACTCTACACGCTGAATGAGTGGCTGAAAATGTTGACTGAGGACAATAACTTGGATTTTATTGACAATTGGAACACTTTTTGGGAAAGACCTTGTTTTTATCACACAAATGGACTGCAACTAAGTCGCCACGGCTCTACATTTTTGTCATCAAACTACAAGTAGGCAGTCAGTAAATTGTGTGAAAAAAGAGAATGATGGATACTTCTCTATTCAAACTGTAGTAAGCAGTCACAATGCAGCACATGCAGGAGCTAAAGGAATAAATACTTGAAGTTAGTTGAAGTTTATAAGCCTACTTATTGCACTGTAACAATTTTAGAGTGCTGCTGCTTAATGTAAGAGCACTAACTAACAAAACCAGCACTGTCAGTGATCTTATCTGTGAACAGAAACTGGATTTTGTAATACTGAAACTTAGCTTAGTTCAGATAAGGCAGTGTCCCTGATTGAAGAATTATGATTTGATTGTACTGGAAGTCAGGAAGGGAGGTGGTCTAGCTGTTGTTTTTTTCCAGTATTTTTAATTACAAAAACATTTCATTAGGAACAGTTTCTTCTTTTGAATATCTTGCTGTTCTACTTAAAGGTCAGGAGCCAGTCTTGCTGGTGGTTGTTTATTGTCCACCCAAATACGCACCATCCTTCTTACCAGAATTGTCTGAACTACTGTCTGTCTGTGTAACTAATCATGACAGGATTCTTCTAAACAATGATTTCAATTTTTATGATGAAACCTCAGACAAAAATGCTACTGAATTCATGCAACTTTTAAACACATTTGATTTTACTCAGCACGTAACTAGTCTGACACCTTCATGGTCACACTTTAGTCATGTCAAGGTTTATTTATTAACATGTATGAAATTTTGGATATCACCATCTCAGATCACTAATGTGTGTTTTTTAGTATGTCTGCTTATGTTGATATGAAAGAAAAAACAGTATTTTAACACATCAACATGGCTGCCTTTAGTAACAATCTACATTACCTCCTCTACACATTAACTCAACAGTGCATGATATGCTCAGCAGTTTTCACTGTATGCTAAGACCTGTTTTAGATACTGTTGCAGCAGAAAAAACTAAAGAGAAATCCTTGACCACAAAAATGCCATAGAAAAATGAACAGATAAACCAATTGAAAAGGGACGGCCACAAAGCAGAATGGAAATGGAGGGAAACTAAACTAAACTAAACAATGCAGTGCAAACAGAGAGACAGAAACACTACTCAAACCTCACTAATGACAATGGAAACAACCCAAAAGTTTTATTTTCAATAACTGAAAATGGCCTCTTAAATCCTAAATTAACCAATGATTATCTCACTGGGGTTTCAACACCAAATGTAATGAATTTGCATTATTTTTTGCTAGAAAAATCACTAACATTCTGTCACATTGTATTACTTTAAAACTACCAGTAGTAGACTTTATTCAACAGCAAAACACGCAAAAAAATATGAATAGTTTGAAAAAGATTACTGAGAACCTCAACATGTTATCATATAGCTGAATTCCTCTACCCGTGTTTTAGATTCTATTCCAACAGCATTTTTTAAAGATGTATTTGACAGATGAACACAATATCCATTAAAATCACATTTGCTTCAGAGCAAAGCACAGCCCTGAAACTGCTTTAGTGAAGGTTGTGAATGATCTGAGAATAAATGCTGATGCTGGTGATATTTCTGTACTTATGATTCTGGATTTAACTGCTGTATTTGACACCATAGACCTCAGACTACTTCTAAATTGGCTTGAGAACTTGGCTGGTCTTTCTGGAACTGTGTTAAACTGGGAATTTACATATTGTCAACTGAAAGACAGTATTTTGTAAGCATAGGTGAACATGTCTCAGATACACGTGATATTCTCTGTTTTCAGTTTTCTTTGTATGTGCTGCCACTTGGTCTGATTATTAAGAAGCATGGCATCAGTTTTCGTAGTTATGCAGATGATACACGACTGTATAAATCTGTAGCTCCGGACAATGTTGTTGGTAATATGTCTGTCCAGGATCATAAGCTGGATGAAAAGCAATTTTCTAAAACTTAATCAAGACAAGACAGAAGTAATTATACTCTGTAGTGAAGCAAAGAGGAAAAAGATGCACAAAAGAAGAAATGGAAATGGGAAAACTTGCAACAGCAAGAATATTAACACAGACTAGAAAACAAGACCATATTAGACCAGTTTTAGCTTCACTGGCTGCCTGTTTCCTTTAGAATCGACTATAAAATGTTCCGAATCGTGATTTAAGATCATCTAGTGCGAGCCTGCTCCATATTCCACGCATAAAACTTAAAAAGAGAGCGGAGAGGCAGCGTTTTGTTTTTATGCACCAAAGATCTGGAACACATTACCAATAAACATTCATCAGGCTCCTCCTGTCAATGGCTTTAAAAATTAGTTAAAAACATATTTCTTTACTTTAGTGTTTAACTAGTTTTTTTCCATTGTTTTCCTTGTTTTTACTGGAATATTACTTTACCTGTCTTGTTAGTTGTATTTGTATTGTATTTTTATTTATACTTAGATTTTGTGCATTTTAATTTTAATTATTATCAAAACATCCCCTTTTCTGCCATTGCTTTTATTTATTGCATTTTTTGGTTTATTGTTGATTATCTTTTTTCTCTTCTTCCTCTGTTTTTACTTTGCATTGTGAAGCACTTTGAGCTACATTTTTAATGTATGAAAGTTATTATATAAATAAGAATATTTTTTTTATTTGTTTTGTTTTTAGAAATAAACTACACATTCCTAATGCTGGTGCCTGCGTAGTTACCTCAGCGACAATGTTGCATCACTTAGCGACAAAGATACCTGTCATCACATCATCAATTAACAAAATAAAAAAAAAATGCAATTACAGGCTTATTACTGTACAAGTTTAAGTTTAAAAACTGGGACAGAACAAAGGTCAGTACAGCAACATCTCAGTTTTTACTCGTACTGGCAATTTATTCATCAGTCAGAGCCTTCAGATAGCATTCCAGAAGGTTTTAAGCATGGAAAACTTTAAGCTGTGTGATTTGTGGTTCACACTCTGGTCTTATGGACCTCAGTGGTTTTGCTGCTACACCATGTGTGACTCTACACATAACCTGGCAGCAGCTGGATTAAAATTCAGGGCCCACGAATGGCTACAAGGCCCACAGTATAATATTATCACGTTACTTGAGCTGCATTGTGATTCTTTTATATATTTTAAAGGTTTGTGATATGCTAGGTTTTGCAATTTATTATGTTTGGCTGTAGATTACTACTCTAAAGAATACTTTATTCCTTTTTTTATTGAAGCAAATCAGAATTGTGTAGTAGACAGATTTTGTTCATTGATTTAACAGATGCTTTTATCCAGAGGAGTTTACAGTGGCTGGCAAAGGTATTGATAAGAGCTTTGACCAGCAGTATTTTGGTAATCTGTTAGTCTAACAATGGTTTTAATAGGCATTTAAATGATTCCTAATTAAATAATGAAATATCTGTGTATCAATACTGTTTTTTAACAATATTGCGATAATGCATTGTACTTCATTTACTTCTACCACTCCTAATAAATGCATGCCAGAAAACACTCTAAAAAGTGTCGGATTGACTATGAGAATGTGAAATTTGAACCCGTTTGAGAAATGATGACCAAACCCGACGTGAATGCCTGGGTCCTCTCGGGTCCACACAAATATTTAAAGCTGTAGTAACAACTGGCGTAAGGACTGTGGAAATTATTAGTGACTTAAATTTGATTTGCTTGTATAGAATTACTGCATGTCCTTTTATGTTTATAGGGGCTGTTAAGGGAGGATTCTTTTGACGTCTTACAGAGATTGTGAAAAGGATGATAGCTTAATGGATGAATTATTGCATTAGTGTGCTATTCAGCAGCATTACTTCCTCTCAGCGGCCGTAAGCTCCACCATTTGTCATAGTAGTATTAGGTTTTGTGAAAGTACCTGGAGTCATGGCTGTATCTGAACTGCTGGATCACCGTGTAGTTTTTCTGCTAATCTGATTAGAGTTGAGATGTGATGTCAAAATGTGCAGAGAGAAAATTCCCCACGGCGGTTAGATTAGGGGCAGAGATAAACACTGTCTGTTCTTTGAGCAGCCGCGGGCAGCATCTCATGTCTCTTTCTCCCTTTCTCTCTCTCTAGGTCTAATGCGGTCTCGTGTCCGAGGGGCAGATGCAGCCACAGCTACTGTCCTCACCTTCCTGGACAGCCACTGCGAGTGTAATGAACACTGGCTGGAGCCTCTGCTGGAGAGGGTTGCCGAGGTTAGTGTAACTTCTACAGGGCATCTAACTCATCTAGTACACACAAGCACTCTTACAGATGGACAAATCCCACAGGCTGCACAACCTGCGTTTTTCATTCTCACATTTGACAGACTGTTCCTGATTAAAATGGCGGGAGAGGAGCTCTGCTGTCATGCTATCAGAGCGGCTCAGTTCACTAGTTGAGCTTTACTGCTGCTGCGTCGTGAATATTCATGAGGGAAGTTCTGTATCTGTAGAGTTGCTTCAACCAGGCAATGCTTCTCTAATGAAATGGTGCTTTCATAGGAGACTGTTCTTTATTTCAAGGGCCCAGATCACAGGAAACTGGATTTTATTGCTTTTGTGAGTAAGAGTGTGATGTACTTTGGAAACACTGTTAAACGTATCATTCACTCCGTACAGTCCACACACAGTTGTATGGAATAGTCTGGGCATCCCTGGTTAAATGACGTTTTACCTCTTTTAAACACATCCTCTACAGAGAACTTGCAAAATTTAATATACTGGGAGGGGAAAAAACAAAGCATAAAATTTTCCAAATTATTTTGTGTTTTTATTTGAGCTTAATATGTAATATATAATAAGCAAGTACATAGAATTGCACTACAGAAAGTGGAGTACAATTAGCGGAAAATACTATATTTCAGTTTCAACTTATTTTCAGTTAGAAAATCAACACGTAATTTGACCAGGGGTATACATACTTTTGCATATGACTGTGTATAGAAACAAACCTCCCCTTTGATGTTAAAAAAACTAGCTCATTTTACATATATCTTCCTCTTCAGCCCGCAACAGTTCACACTGAAGTTATAAGGATTGTTTCAGCCTCTGCTGCTTTTGATCAAGGCACAGTGTTAGGGCACAGAACATGGTTCGTTTGCATATATTAGTCTTAAAAGCACAGTAACTAGAACAGCCTGCCTAATGCTTGGAGATAAAGAGAATTTTTTAAAATTATGATGTAAAAATGTACAAATGTCCTAAGGTGGCCTTAATAAAAAAAATACAAGAAAAGTACAGAATAAGGGATTACTCCTAGAATATGTCATATAATTAAACCTCGACTTTGACTTGACTTTCATTCTCTTGAAATAATTAGACCTATTTAATTTTTTAGAGTGCAGTGCAAAAGCTTTAGACACCTGAGAAAATTGCATTTAAAAAGTTGTTTTACTGGGCGGTAAGCATTCATTCACTCAGGAAAAACTAAAATTAGAACAAATACGAATAACATAATGCACATTAATACATAATAAGTAATGGTTTTATGTATGTTAATGTGTTAATATAACTCTCTTTGTGGCAACCCATTATTACTTGTTATTATCCAATACCTGGCTTGACTAATCAGTATTTCATTATGTTAAATAAAGTGTATTGTGCAAAAGCTTTAGGCACCTGAAAATTCGATTTAAAAAGATTTCACAATGTAAAAAGTGTACTTAAAATATTCTCACTAACCTATATGTTACTGACTGCAGTATTTTCTGATACACTGCTGTTTATTCATCATAAATGTAGTAATGAGTAGCAGCTTATTGGGTTACCTTAGATGAGGTCGGGGCAACGTTAGTTAAAATATTTTCATACTTCACTGTACCCACAGTGTGCTGAGGGTGTGTATGTTTGCCGAGCAGGTGAGTCACTCTTAAGCGAAAGAAAAGCCATTGATGAACAAACACATCCTGCCTGGCACAGGACCAGTCAAACAGACACACCTTTATAGGATAATCGAATAATCCTGCAATTTGGCTTCAGTTACCTGCAGGCATCCCTGAGCTGCAGCTCTCTCACGATGATATAGATGTAGCAGTTCTGTCACTTTGGCTTGGTTCCAGTTCTGATAACTGAAAAGCTCCTTTTCTGTTGCAGAGCATTTTAAAAATGATGCAGCGCCTCCTGAACCTCAGTTATGCTTGAACTTTTTCAGCTAGTTTAAGTTTTTCTGAAACTGTTGGAGGGAAAATGAACACGACCAATAAACACCATCACTAACAAACAGAAGTGTGTTTGCGGCTGTGTCAGGATTTGAGAAAATATATTAATTTGTTTCTCTATTTAGGAGTGATTAAGTGACTCAGAGTAATAGGTGTGTGTGCTGCAGATAAATACATATTGAATGCAGCCTCTGTGCTACTCATCCACTAAATAGAGAGTATAATAAAAGTGTTGTGTAGTTTAGTATTTATTACCGGACTTGTATTGACCACTGCTGTAATTATACCAGAACTGCAGCAGCATCTGTAAAATGGGCCACACACACTTGAAAATCTGTTTGCGCCCTGGCTGAGCTTTTGCATCATAAATTTCAGAGCAAATTCGGAAAAGAACTTGCAATGAATCTGCTTGAATTCAGTTTAACATGAATCATTTTTTAATTGGGGCTGACAATCTCATGTTTTAGATTTTTTAATTAAATTTAATTTTTATTGTCAGTTCTGACAGTATAAATTTTTTTCACAGACAGATTTTAAAGGGCCCATTTAATGGAAAAATGAATTTTGATGTAATATTGAAACATTGTTAAAGTTTCATAATGTACCTCCCCAGTCAGTATGTCCATATATAGAAACTAAGCTGCAAAAACAGCCCATTTTAAATGAATTGTTTTTGTGATGTCACACACCTGAACACATTTACATATTCAGCCTACAGAAGATCTAAAGAGCGTTTCAGTCCATGCTGCTTTTTGAATGAGGACCAATACGAATAATCCTGCAAGGGTAGCCAATCAGAACAGCCATGATTTACATATATTCAAGTGTTGTTTGTTTTACAGCTGAAGATGCTCTCAAATGTATATGTGCCCTAATATTGATTACTGTCTGTGCTGCTGTATTTATGATTACAAATGAAGAAAGTTCTCTCCTCTTCCTCGGCCCTGTGCTCTGAGCATTGTATGAGTTTCATAATGTACCACAACACCTGGAAAACAGGCCTTACAAGCATCCCTAACATCATTTATTTCTTCTGTATTATTCAGTATATCTGGTGTGATGTGTCATTGCATCATAAACATGTTTAAATAATTTAAGGGTGATTGATTTTACAAAGCTAAATGTCTTACAGATGTCTTACAAATGACTTACATATGCATCATATATGCATGAGTGTGTGTGTAAGGAGCAAGAGGGAGTAATTTGATGTCTGAGGAGTTACGGCACAGTAGTAAGTTATGGAACCGCTGCTGTAGAGGAGGTCATAATATTACATGTTATATGTTGTTTACTTAATTAATTTGTTAATTGAGAAATGTAAAAAAATGTCTTTAAAACATTCTCAGTAAACAAATATTACTGAGTTTAGTATTTTCTGATATTATGCTGTTTACTTACAGTACATATAATAATAAATAGTAGCTTATTAGGTATTTTTTCAAAGTTTCAGTCGACTTGAAAATCAAGAAAAAATCCTTAATTGCCAAATTAGTGCGAAGTGCTAAGCCCATTTTTAATGATTAGTTTTTTTGATGTCACAAAAACCTAATGAATAGACATATTCTGCCTACAGAAGTTAGGAGTGTGTCAGGCCATGCTACTTTTTGAATGAGGCACAATACAGGGTAGACAATCATAACAGCGGTCATTCATTTATATTAATCTTAAAGGGACAGAAATATAAACAGCTTTTTTAATTCTAAGCAATAAAGAGAGCTTAGAAAATGGTCATGTATGACCACAAATGTTAGTGGAATTTAGGGAAAAATGACAGTTTAAAAAAAAATGTAAGATTTCAGACTTTTATGAAACAAAAAATAAGAACAAAGAACAATAGTAACTGGTGTGTATGACAAAGTTTACATGTTTGAAAGTGAAATAGACTAGTTAAGCAGAGCTTTACTCCTTCAGTTTGGTTACTCAAAATAGCATCACGTTCCTGAATATAGTTTTCTTACACAAATCAGACGATTTATCGGTACTAGTTTGTCATTAATCTGCTTATCTGCAGTGTCACAATCCCAATCCTAATAACAAGCCTCTTTTTAGAGAAATGTCACGAACAACTTCCTTGTGTTCCTGATGGTTGATTTGTGCTGACTCGAGCGCTGGCCTCCTTTCTCCTTTTATCTCTCACTGGCAGGACAAGACACGTGTCGTCTCACCCATCATTGATGTCATTAACATGGACAACTTCCAGTATGTTGGAGCCTCTGCTGATCTGAAAGGAGGTAAAAAAAACCTCTCTCTTCAGAACTCCTGCATGTTTCTTTTGTGTGTGTCTCTTCTCTCCCTCCTTGCTTTTCCCTTCTTGTATCATTGGAAAATCATTCAGTTAGGGCTTGTGTAGTACAGTATGAACGTCTGTGTGCACCTGTGTGCACTTATATTAACCTTAAAGTCTTAGCAGGTTGATAAAGACATGAAGTACTCCTGTGTTTTTCTGCCTAGTCTTCTGTATTTGTAGTATACGATTAATTACAACATACAGTCATTTCTTAGGGCTGGCCCAAATAATTAGAATACTCAAGTATTCATTCGGTATGTTTGTATTCATAGCCTTATTTAATATTTGAAAGCTTGTCTTTTGTTAATGCTGTAGACTTCACCAGAATTCTGCAACACTCCCGTGGATTCCTGACATTTTAGAGTTAGTCTTGTTTATCACTGTTTAAAACAAAGCATTAGATCATAAATCCAGAGGGAAATGGCAAATACAACCCCATTTCCAAAAATTTGAGACGCTGTGCAAAATGTGCAGATCATTGAAACACTGTATTTAATTGACAGTAGTATAAAGCCAACTTATCAAATGTTGAAACTAGGGAATATTATTGTTTTTGTTTTTTTTTTAAATATATGTTGAATTTGATTCCAGCGACATGTTTCAAAAAAGTTTGAACAGTAGCTTGTTCACCACTGTGTTGCATCACCTCCTCTTCTAATCAACGCTCTGTAAGCATTTGGGAACTGATGAGACCAATTGCTGTACTTTTTAAAGTGAAATGTTTCATTCTTGCTTGATATAGGATTTCAGCTGCTCAACAGTTCGGGGTCTCCTTTGTTGTTTCTGAATAATTTTTTGTACATTTTTCTATATTTCGTAAAAGAACAGAAATCCCATTCTTTGAAAAATTCTTATAATAAAAGCAAAAGGGCAAATGCTTCATCACAAGCCCCTTGTGACTCCTCTGTTTAGGACAGGAAAAAAAGGAAAACTAGGGAAAAAACAGGCAAAACCCTTTTGAAAGGAACTGATCGATTTAGTTAGGGGAATGAATCCTATTGCCTCTGTATCTGAGTGTGATCCCTCATGCGGTTTGATGTTATAAGACCCAGCTCAAGTACACACTGCATAAATATCACCCTGCTCTGCCATTCTGTTTGGTCCTCTCCTCCTTCTTCATACATTACACTGATTAGACTGCGATTTCCTTTCCTGATGTAATTCCCAAATTGAAGGCCACATCCCAGCAGGAGGCCGCAGGGAATTGTGAGGTGGGCGGGAGCTAAAATTAAATTCCCATTATCTTCCATTTACTGCCCTCGAAGGCTACGTTCTGATTAAACCTATCACAGCCATTTTATTTTCCTCTTTTATTTTCTCCTAACAAGTAAAATGGCTGAGTGTGAGTTTGTTAAACTGGGCTGTGAGAGCCAGAGCACCATCAGTATTGTAGGAAAGTTCAGGGTGGTCAGAGTGTCCTTTTTCCAGCCTGAAAGCCGGGGTGGCCACAGCACTCCAGAGCTATTAGCCTTAGCAGATGGTGGCACTGAGAAGGGAGCAGATGTCTGTATTTTTATTTGTATATTTTTTTCTCAGATCGATAATCACTCTGATTTGGCCGTCTTTTTGGTTCTTAAATCACTGTAAAATAAAAATATGGTCTGAATGTTTGTTGAACTAGTCATGATGTATTTAGCACAAATAAGCCTCATTGATTTCTGTTTTCAGCTGAGCTGTTAAAGGGGAATTCCATCAATTTTTCAAACTTTCTGCATAATTCAGTCGTTAGGATGTAAGTCGTTCAGAGTGGTTTGATGTTCTAGAGAAACTGACCAACTCGTATTTCTTTACAGTGGGGGTGATTCACACTGTCTACAATGCAAATATAGCCATTTTAATGACTATCCAGAACATCCACTGAATCAACATGTGTCCTCTGAGTTTTATATGTAATGTTGATAATGATAAAATAGTGATAATTCTGAGAAAAATGTTTTATTTATGGACTGTTTTGCCTTTCATGTACCACATAACCAGGAAAGAAGTTTTAGGCCAAAATCTTACCTCACAACTGTCATTAATCAATGTCTCAGACAGCAGGCAGCATATTTATAACCATTTAGTGTAATAACTTACAGTGATGTCGCTTTCAGAGCCAATAAAACACTTTAAATGGTTCCTAGCACAGTTACTGGGAACAATTCTGTATCAGTAAGTTTGTCTAGATCGTCACTCTCTTTACATCTTAATGATTTAATAATGCATGAATTATTAACAGTGACAGTATAATTTATACCAGTTTTATTTGAACTCCTCTTAAAGGTTTATTCTAAATTAATGCCCCATGTGTTTTGTCAGCCTGCAGTGGGCCAATTTTAGTGAAGGCGTATCAGTTGCAATAAGATCTAATGTGTGGTAATTGGTTGCTTCAGGCTCATGATTATTGGTTTAGACACTTCATGACTGGACAGTTCTACTCTGAAAAGCTCCAAAACTCAGTCCCATCTTTAGACACGGGAAGACATATAGGTAATTATCCCAGTGCAGCGGCAGTGGGCTGAGCAGTCACGATGTCTGGCCTCGGTCAGCACAACTTGGAGGTCTATTTTTTTCTTCACACCAGCTATGGGGAAAATTATGACTTTCATTTCTAATCTGATGTATTTCTGCAGGTTTTGACTGGAATCTGGTCTTTAAGTGGGACTACATGACTCTGGAACAGAGAAGAGCACGACAAGGGAACCCTATCGCCCCTATCAAGTAAGCTTGTTGTGTTTGTGGTTTTTCCTCATTTTCTGCTTTAGCAACTGCCTGTAAATTCAATTATCATTTAGATTAACATAGATCATGATATATAGCATGTTCAACTGGAAGCTGTTAATTGCTACACCAATATTGCATTTAATAATGTGAAATAACACTGTCAGCACAAACTGAGATAGCAGCAATATATCAAACGCTGTGGAATAACACTGATTATCATGCTTGTTCTCCAAACAACTGCAAATTTAATGATATAATAAATAACGCACATTATGGGTCGAATGCAGAGTCACACATCCTCTCTTGTAGATGAGATTAATTCATTTGGAAAGGCAAACACACTCTTAAAATTATTTTAATAGACGCTACAGAAAGCTCTTTGTCAGCGATGCCGTGTGTTTGCTTGTGTTTGTAAATGGATCGGCATCCAGGGAGTGACTGAGGAAGGATAATTATTAGCTCAAGGGAACAAAGACTAGTGATGTCTCTGCTCTAAAAGAAAACAGCACAGCAAATACCTTTAAAAAGCGTTATATAATAGCTGCATTATAGTGTGATGTGGGCGCTGGATTTACAGTGTCTTGGTTTAGAAGTGGTGCAGTGACTTTATGAAGCTTTTTTAACACAGTGATCAAAGTACTTTGCAACTCAAAGATTTTATGAGGATGACAATGATTACTGAACCGTTGAAAATAATGTGAGCATAAAAACTCATTTGAGAGAAAGAGGAAAGAAAGAAAAGAGCAAATTCGCCTTGTGTGAGACTCATCATAAACCTTCACAGAGGTTTCTTAATCTCTTGTCAGCATCAGCTAACTTTTTATCTTTAGCTAACAAGTGATGTTCCTTTGATAGCTCAAATGGAAGTGAAAGTGTTATTTTGGAGAATCAGACTGAATAAGGGTGTCCTTACTAGGCACTGCTTCTGAGGCGCAGTGGTTCTGTACAATAAAGACACGTGAGACTAGAAACTAGGGCATGGCAGTTAAAAGATATGTTTGAATTGGCATTTTGTTTAACAAGCCATACGATGTGATTTTCCCATATCTTAGGACTCCTATGATCGCTGGGGGCCTCTTCGTCATGGACAAAAGCTACTTTGAGGAGCTGGGAAAATACGACATGATGATGGATGTGTGGGGTGGTGAAAATCTCGGTGAGAGGAAAATCTGTGCTGTCTGTGTTCAGCTGTTACACCCAGGCCAACGTGACACAACTTGAAGTAGCACTGATACATCAATCAGACATGATTATGTTTTCCATAATCTTAAAGACGTTCTTATCTACAAGCTTCTGCTTACATGCTTGCAATTTGTTTCTAAGACAAACATAAACAAGCTCTTAAAAACATAAAGGTGCCAGAGAGGGTTTTTCGGAGCAGTGCCATACACTCTTAGCAAAAAGGGTTCTATGTAGTACTTAAAAAGGCTTCTTTGACTCAGTTCAATAGTGAAAGCCTTTTTGGTGCTAAGTTGAAACATTTTTAAACGGGTTCTTTAAAGAACTATTACTGGTTTCCCATCATAGAGAAGAACCATTTGACCATACAAAGAACAACTTATGCATGCAGATGATTCTTTGAGTGTTCATGGTTCTATAGAGAGCCATTGCCTTTACTAAGGACCCCTCGAATAACCCTTTGTAGAAGAACCCTTGAGTGGATGGTTCTTTTAAAAATGAGATGTACAGTCATCTCCACAATTATTGGCACCACTGGTAAGATGATAAAAGAGGGTTACAAGAAATTCACCTTATGATGAATCAGCTTAATCTCAAACTGAAAAAACTATAATTTAAGTAAATTTATTTTTGAAAAAATCTCTTATGAAGTAAAAATTATTTTGAACAGTATCATATGTGCCACAATTATTGGCACCTCTGCATTCAACACTTTGTACAATCTCCCTTTACCAATAAAACAGCACTTACTCTTCTCCTATAGCATCTTATAAGGTTGGAGAACACCGAGCAGGGAATTTGAGACCATTCCTCTTTACAGAATCTCTCCATGATTTTGTGTTCAGTAAACCATTTTTGCATTGATCTGGATGTATGTTTTGGATCATTGTCGTGCTGGAAGATCCAGTGATAACCTGTTTTTAGTTTCTTGGCAGAGGCAGACAGATTTTGATTTAAAAATATCCTGGTATTTTATGAGTCCATGATGCTATGTACCTTAACGAGGTTCCCAAGACCTTTGGAGGATAAACAGCCCCACAACATCACAGGCCCTCCGCTATACTCAACAGTGGGCATCAGGTTCTTTGCAGTGCAGTCATCCTTCTTTTTATGCCAAACCCACCTGAAGTGTTTGTTGCCAAGAAGCTCAATTTTCGTTTCATCTGACCATAGAACACAGTTTGAGTCAAAAGTTCAGTAGCGTTTAGCAAACTCCAGGCACTTGTGTTTGTGGTTAGATGACAGGAAAGGCTTTTTCCTGGCAAGCCTTCCAAGTAATCTGTTGGCATGGAGGTGGCATCTGATGATAGTTTTGGAGACATGATGACCCCAAGATGCTACTTTTTTGTAGCTGTGTAACAATCCTCCTTACTGTGTGTGGGGGCAAAATAAACTTTAGTCCTTGTCCAGGCGTGTTTGTCACAGTTCTAGTTGATTGGAACTTTTTAATTATTGCTGTAACTGTAGATTTGGGCATTTTCAGGTGAGTAGAAGTTTTTTATAGCCATATCTTGACTTATGAAGGTCAACACACTTTCCCTTGTTTGAAATGTGTGTTCTCTGGTTTTTATATATATATATATATATATATATATATATATATATATATATACACTCCAATGAAACAGGAAGTCATTAATTACTGCTTGACAGTTCCTAGACACTCTGATTAACTTAAAGTAAAATATAAATTGAAAAAATAACTGTTATTTTTATCTCAGAATAAATTATAAATTTACTTCAGTTAAAAGTTGGATTTTGTCAGTGCAAGATTAAGCTAACTTACCCAAAGGTAAACCTTTTATAACCCTTTTTACTCATCTTTACCAGGAGTGCCAATAATTGTTGGGACTGGATGAGTTGAAGAACTTTGTTAAAAGTCATCCTAAAGATCTAAAGATTCTGTAAAGGTTGTAAACCAATTCAAGAGTTTTCCTAAAACCATATGTCTAAACCAAGAGCCATTTAGCAACCTTTATTTTCAAGTGTAATGAGCATATGTGGAACTTCAGCTTTGTTGGAAAAGCATTCTAATGAAGCTGCTTGAGTGAATGCCAAGAGAACCTAAGGCTGCACGAAGACAAAGAGGGGTAATTTCTAAAATAATCTGTAAGAGCTATAAAAAGTCTACAGTGTAAACATTTTGATTTATTTAACACTTTTTGATCTCTGAAATTTCTGCTTTCAGTTTTATTCAAATATGTAAAAACTAAGGAAAGCTGTCCTTTGAGTAACTGTGTCCTATAGAACTGCTACTATAGACCAAACGAGGCTGTGGAAAGCAGAGCTATAAGTGCTGTTGTCCACTGTGGGTGCTGCATCCCTGTGTAATGACAAGAAATCTAAATGAGGCCTGTAGGGTTTGTGGAGTTGGGCAGAAGGCTGTATAAGACAACATTGCAGTTGCATCCTAAAAGTGGGTGTATCTTTCAAGCTGCCCAGAAGAGTTTAAGTCCCTGTGAAAGAAATTTCCAGCCCACGCGTCTGCTTTCCCCAGTCTGACTGTCCACTCAGGTCATAATGGCAGATCTGTTGCTTTTTTTTTCCTCCTGTGTTTCTGGCTCACAGATCTGCCTGCCTGTTAAATAGTGCAGTGTAAGACTCCATGAGGTAGACTCATTTTCAAATTTAGAATCATGTCTGTGGCATTGATGGATACCGAATGAGGGGAAAAAGCCCTGACTCATTTCACAAACGCAGCATTTATTACAGCTGCGGTGGGTTTGGAAAAGGTCACAGGAATCCAGCAAATAATGCCTCCACTGCAGACTGGAGGAAAGTTTCATTTTCACAGATGTAACAGGCTGAAGGCCTGGGAAGCTCTGTGGAGAGAACTGCAGTGTCATGGAGTTGTAACGTCCTTTGCTATTTTTAACTACACACAGGGTCATTATGGCTTGTATGTGTGTGTTATATGCTAGTATCTACAGTCTTTACAGTCGGATACAAAAGTTTGGGCGCGTGTGTGTGTGTGTGTGTGTATATATATATATATATATATATATATATACACAATAACAATATCACTGTTATGTTGCTGTTATTAGTATCATTGTTGAAGGTTTTGATCATGTAAAATTATTGTAGCTGATATAAGTTTTAGCTCCTTATAATAAACTATATATAAAAAAAATTAAAATGTTATATTATAAATATTTGGGCCCGAATGTGCTGTAGCTGTGCTCTGAATGAGCTCCACAGCCTCACTGTCTAACTGTGTGTGTTCTTCAGAGATCTCCTTCCGTGTGTGGCAGTGTGGGGGCAGTCTGGAGATCATTCCCTGCAGTCGAGTGGGACACGTCTTCAGGAAGCAGCATCCGTACACCTTTCCTGGAGGCAGCGGCACAGTGTTCGCCAGGTAACTGCTGCACACTGTGCCTGAAACAGAGTTGAAGCTTTCTGTACTCTGTGCTTGGTACAGTCAAGTATTTCTCACTTCTGGTCCTAGGGTACCACAGCCCTGCATAGTTTATTAACTAGTTAGTTATAAATCAGTTAATGAACTGATAAATCAGCCCTGATGAATCAGGTTTATTGTAGCAAGGAGAGCACTAACCGGTGCAGGGCCAGTACCAGGATTGAGAAGCACTGCAGTTATTAAAAAGAAATAGAGATGTTTTTGAAGTAAACCTATACAGTATTTCATGTGTTCTTCTAAAAGACCTAAGCTTTCAAGTCCTTTAAAGTGTAGCAGGCAGAGAGGGGTCAGAAAACGCAAATCTAAGCCATATATAAATTGATTATTCAGTGGAGCTGAGATTTTATCAAACAAAATGGTGCCTAGAGTGCAGCATGGCTCAGTTGATGTGCTCCACCCAGTGGCTGGAAGTGGAAACTGGCCACAGATACATAGTAGATCTGAACACTAAACTCCTCCAACTAATGTGCACATATGCACAGCCTCAGTATCTCACTGTGTGTGTTCTTCATAGATGAAAGATCTCCTTCCGTGTGTGGCAGGATGCGCACCAAGTGGACTGGCTGTAGTCCTGTGTCTCTTAAATCCTCAGGAATATGCTAAACATGATAGCACAGGGAAGCGAATATGGAAACAGAGCCCATGGTGCTTTATCATTAATCTGGATTCTAGCCATTTCCCTTCAATACATCAAGTTTACAGTTTCACTTAGCTAAAACTGGCTGTTAGAGCAAAGTTAGTAGAACAAATTGCCAACATGCGATTAAGGCCTGTCAAGCAATAAAAGCTTGACCTCTCTGCCCTGCTGGTGGGTGTCCATCTGTCCCCTGCAGGAACACCAGGCGAGCAGCAGAAGTCTGGATGGATGATTTCAAGAATTTTTACTATGCCGCTGTGCCTTCTGCGCGGAACGTGCCCTACGGAAAGTAAGTATGACCCTGTTTCTGATTGCTGTCAGATTTCAGGTCAAACTGAATGCTCTGGTTAAAGGAGAGGTCTGTTCTTTTCTTTCTTTGCTGTTCTTTTCGGTCACTTTGCTTTGAATTGTAAGATTTAAAAACTTGTTGTTGCCCAACAGTATTCAGAGCAGGCTGGAAATGAAGAAGAGGTTGGGCTGCAAGCCGTTCAAGTGGTACCTCGAGAATGTCTACCCGGAGCTTCGGTGAGATCTAAGGAAGTTCACTTTACTGTGCATGCTGTGCAAGTGGCTGTAGTTCAGCTAGTTAAATTGTCATTTACAATTTAAATTGCCTGCTTCACCTAACCTACAAAGCAGGTTCACATGATCTGCACATGTGGAGTCTCTTTGTGCACTCCAGTCATTTTGTATGTAAAGAAATCAGCTTAAGCAATACAGGACCTGGAGGTATGAGTTAATATGCTATTTTGTTCACAGGCACAGAGCTGTGTTCACTTTCTTCTGTTGTTTGTCACTTGTTCAGGGTCCCTGACCACCAGGACATTGCCTTTGGAGCTCTGCAGCAGGGAGGGAACTGTCTAGACACACTGGGGCACTTTGCTGATGGTGTGGTGGGGGTCTATGAGTGCCACAACGCAGGGGGCAACCAGGTATCATTCAGGGCGCAGGTACAGTACTGTACAGTTATAGGCATCAGGAGTGCACTGGGTGAGCACATGGCTGGCGGTGGGGTTGAAGGGTCCATTCACACTCAGAGGGGAATATGGGACAATATTGAAGCAAACCTGCACTGTACTGTCACAGCAATTTGTACTGCTGTAGTTTACATTGTATGTTCTGAAATACAACCCTCGAAGATTAAATGCTTTGAGTATTTACAGTGTAATGTGGCTAAACTGTGGAGATATAGTTTCTGTACATTGTCTGTCATTTTCCGGGTCACTGATAAATAAAGCACCATTTAAAATGGATTTGGTTGTTAAGGGGGTCCTTCTATTGCTATTGCTAAAGGAGCTCTGTTTTTCGCACTTTACAGAATAGGGTGAACTTGAAGCTCCCTCAGCAGTAGTAAACAGAAGGCCCCCTTAACAGCCTAATCCATCTTGAATGGGGCTTTATTTACATTGATTTTATCAGTGACCCTGAAAATCACAGATGGGGTACAGAAACCATATCCACACAGTTTAGCTAAGTTATACTGTAAATACTCAGTGTTAATAGTCCTGTTCTTATTCACCTAATAATAAAATAATAAAATCTGCCAATAGACACAGCCATGAAGCATGGTAATGTTGAGTGTGATGCCTGTGCCATAACACTGATTTTAACATCCAGGCTACAGCTTTGCAATTCAGGCTATATGTGAAAATTTGTGGGCAAGTACATAGATACATTTTACTGTATACGCATTGGCCAAATACCAACAAGTGACATCACACAGCTTCCTAGTAAAGCTGATCCAGCTCCAGTAGTGCTCTGCTCTTAATTTGAAAGGTTGTAATTGTCTCCTCCTGTTGCTTCATTTCCTCAGGAATGGGCCTTAACTAAAGACAAGTCTGTGAAGCACATGGACCTGTGTCTGACTGTGGTGGACCGCACGGCGGGTTCCCAGATCAAACTGCAGGGCTGCAGGGAAAACGACAGCAGACAGGTCAGTGAAGTGACCCAGCCTGGCCACGCTCTGTTCAGCCGCCAGGAGTTTGGCTGTCTCGGCTGCATCTGGTAGTATTTCAGTGATGAGTTGAGTAGATTACTGGTGCACAGCACAAGCAAAAGGAAGAAGGCTGGCATCTCATTTTGCCACACAAGGGAATATGAAGGACTACTAGTATTTGAAGCATCTCTCTCCAAAATGTGATGATGAAGCCTGAGCCCAGCTCAAAATAGCAATAATGCAATATTCTGGGATATAGACTCATTCAATCAGACTTATTTATTGGGTGCATGGCAACTAATAAAATAAGGACCATGAAATATACTTTGATAAGCTGCTTTATTTTGAACATACTTTTATAATCTAATGAGCACTTGAACACTGTATGGCAATTGGCTAGTTTGAGTTAAAAAAAGGCGAATTTATTATTTGAAGAAACTTCTTTGTAAATGTAAAAAGTGGATATTTCATGTTGAGCTCTGGGTTTATTTTATTTGAACTGGTTATCAACTGAAGTGATCTGACTTACAGAGGAGCTGACAATGTTTCCATTTTTGACGAGAGACACAGACTCTGAACAGATGAGACACATCAGTTTTGAACTTGAAGTGGGAAGAAAAATGCAGTTCTCCCTCTTTTTGTAACAAGCCATGTTCACTTCACTACTCGGATAAAAAAAATGTAAAATCTATGAAAATATATGAAATCTAGCCCTGCAGCTGCCTTCGGCGAAAGTCGTTAACATAAATGTATGTGATTGTATAAACCGCAGCACAGAACGGCTTACATGTGTTCATCGGCTTTGCTACACCATTTTTTCAAGTGCTCTGTTTATTCCACTGAAATACTTTGCTGGGCTGTGGTCAGCCAGTTGACAATCCCTGCACTATGATGTGTAGTGGGTATATATGTGGGCACTCTGTAGAAGTGTTGGTTGGACCTGGGATTGCACAGAAAAGTATGACCCTAACAAATCATCAGAAAGCTCAGCTTCTCTTGTTCAACCGGAATTACTTGATACTTGATGTGTCATGAAGGTCTTGGTGAAGCTGATGACTCATCCTCTGTTTATGTCTCCGTTACAGAAATGGGAGCAGATTGAAAATAACTCTAAGCTGCGGCACGTGGGCAGTAACCTGTGTCTGGACAGCCGGAGCGCCCGCAGCGGGGGTCTGACGGTGGAGGTGTGCAGCCCCTCCCTCACCCAGCAGTGGAAGTTCACGCTCAACTTGCAGCCCTAGTCCTGTCTTCCCCCTTCCCCCCTGCCCTATCCCTTCCCCAGGTCCCAGAGCAGCCCCTCCCCCCGAACTCGGGGGTCAGCGCACTGCTGTCTGAGGAACACTGCCCCAAACGCAGTCTGCCTGCTCACAGCCCCCAGGGGCCATGGGGCCACGCTAACGGACGACAAAAACAAACACAATGACTTTTTCCATCCAACTATATACCTCACCGTTTCATTTTTTTGGTCCAGCTATTGGAAAGTGAATCTAAACTTTAATTTAAAAAAAAAAAAAACAACAAAAAGAGGTTTTCCTTCCTGTTTCTGACGCCAGCCAAAAGGATCTGATTTCTGTTGTTGCCGTTTTTTTTTCCTGATTTACTTTTTTCATGTTTCATTTTTTTTCCATCACTTTTTTCCTTTAAACAAAGGTGACTTACTCTGCTGTTCTTTTCGTTTCACGTAACCAATATTGTCGAATGTAAGTGACTCCCCGAGGCTCCCTGCCCGCGCGCCGTGTGTCTGGAATTCTAATGAAGACCGTTTCACGTCAGCTTTCTTTGCTTTTTGTCTCTTCCGCAGGGATGAGGGAGGACATGCGTGTGCTGTACGTGTGCACTTTCACGCACACTTAAGACTGTGGAGAGTCTCCAGGCCTCGTTTTTTTTTTTTAAACTGTCTGTTGTACACAGTAAACAGTATCCACACAAAAAAATCAGAGGCCAGATTTGTTTTCAGTTTTATGTATTTTTTTTCTATAGTTTCTGTCAAATTTTCATTCGTCTGTCTTGCGTCTTGAAGGTGCAATGTGTAAAGATTTGAACTGCTTCCTCTTTGGGCCTCTGGAGCGTTTCGGAGGGGAACTGAGGTGTGGAACAGGGTGCTGCTGCTGGACCCCACACCTTGTAGCACTGGCTGCTACTATTCAGCATCTGCCCCCCATTTGCTAACAGAGTTTTTCTGGTTGTCCTTCACTTTTTCCCCCCTTCATGTAATCAGACCATTTTCCTGTCATTGAGATATTCTAGTTCTAGCGATACTTCATAGTTTTTGATAATTGCATTATGTGGAATAATCAAGTCAACATGGTAACTGTAACAGTTTTCTTCTGAAATGTTTTTTTTTTCCCCCCACTCTTTGTCAGTGTCCGGGGGGTAATATCATATTAACCTCCTGCAGAAGCGTTAATGTGTTGGTCATATGATAAAACAGAATTCCAGTGACAGGAACGTTTTCTTGTTGCTTGCACAAACTTGTTTATTCTTACATCACAGTCCTAGTAGTTATTGTATTAATTCTGATCATGAGCTTCCTAGCGCAAGGCGGTGTCGGACATGTTTAATTTTGTGTATTGCACATGGTGTTGTTACTTGATAATTTCTTGTTAACCTAGTTTTCAATTGTTGAGCGATATGGGGTGACTACATCCATAGCCTTTGACTATATCCATGCTACTGTAAACCGAAAGGGCGACTGACCAGCTCTCAGCATGTGCGTCTGGGCTAGAAGCCGCTGTTACTCAACTGGACTTGGAAAGCATCTGTCTGTCTCTGTCACAGGTGTGAATCTCACAATCATGTTGCCATGTTTTCCTCCTCTACAAGACTCTTCTCGGCTTGTTCATAGCTTCGACTACGGTACTTCACATGATGCTGTGATGCTAATTAGTTCTTGGGAAGCAGATATCTTTTGTTTCACATTTTCAGAGTCAGGATAGCCCTGTAGCATTCTGTAATTTATTCTAGACTAGACACAATGAGTCTGACATACTGTAATCGCCATGTTCATGTTAGTCCTGTCCTGCATATGTTTTGTCTCCACTACACACCCTGTGTGTTCTTCCAGATACAGAGGATCATAGGTCCTTGGACATGAACTTGAGGACACTGAAAACACAAGTGCTGCCTTTAGCTTGCAGATGTTAGCGGGCAGTGACTGTCCGGAGAAGCTCCAGGTTAAGGTTGAGCAATTTGTGGAAACAAGAAAACCTGCCTGGGTTTCTTTCCAAGTGAAATAAGACTTGCTGTAGTGACGTATTGCGAGATGCTGATCTCTCTCAGCCTAACAGTGCCCAGAGCAGCAGTTCAGAAATGGCAAAAGAGAAGATGTACTTGTATTAAACTTTGCCGTTGACCTTGAAGCCACCTTTCGCCAGTTAAAATGGAGAAGCCAGTGAACTACAATTGCCTATAATCATTTTGTCATCACGATGCCAACATTTGTGCAGTGACTGAAACAGAGTGTTTTGTGCTTTGCTATGGGAGGAAACCTTCATTGGATATCCTGGAGTTGGGCCAAATTCTGAGAAATACCTTGATGATGATGACGACGATGATGACTAATCTCTGATTTGGACGAAGTGTTTACATAGCACAGTGTGCCAAAGTTATTTACTGTTGGTTCATTTGTCTCAGCATAGTTCAAGTATAGGACAGTGTCATTGACTGATGTGATGAAGGACATGCAACCCCACCAAATCCCCTCCCCCATTTACTTAGGCATAATAATTTTGGGTAGTTTTTTATTTTCTTTCTTATTTTTGGTTCCTCTAAGTCTTGACGTTACAATTAACGGCAAGGGAGACATCATGGGGTCAACAGTTGTACAAGTGTATATGTGTGTATATACAAAATGTATGTCCATGCATGTACATATATACACATACAGTTGCAGTTAATAGTGATTTGGTCAACTGTACAGCGCTTGTATTTGTTCATTGTTTTATAGATATGGCAAAAGGTTTACTTTGAATGAGGAAAAAAAATTAACTTAAATAAAACTTTATATATATAATCAGCGGTGTTTGTTGTAATTATCCACGTTTAAACGTATGATAAATAATCATGAGTGAACATCTGTATTACTTGGTGATTGTGTTTGTTTTTGGTAACACTTTATTTGGAGTGGTTCATTGTAGATGATTAATAAACTCTTAACAGATTATCAGTAACACATCAACAACATGTCAGTGAAGCAGCAGTAGTGAAGCATCTGAATACACAGATTCCCAACACAGTAAATTTCTTATAGATGTTCTATTGATACATTACTCACATTAATTAGATGTATTATTGTTACTTCCATAATGCAAAACCAACCTTACCCAACCTTACCCTAACCCTAACCCTCATATGACATGTTACTGAGAGTCTGTGGAGTGTGTTTTTTTTTTTTAGAATTGCAGCCTGATGAGCACTTTTAAAGCTCTATTTTGCTGATAGAAAAAGTGCTGTTGAGGGGAAGAAAATGAAAATGCAGTGTTTACATGTAAAGTATCTCCCCTCTTCAACCCAAAGGCAGTTTGTGTTCATGTTAGCATTGGCAGACTTTTTTTTGTTGTTTGTTTATTTATTTAAATCCATAACACCAAGACCACACCCTGGTCAAATTACATGTTGATTTTTTTTAGTGAAAATAAGTTAACACACCCTCTACAGAGAACACAATATTTTTCTGCATATTTTAGTGCACAGTTCCTATTTATTTGCTGAGTTTAACACAGGGGTGCACAATTCTTGTCCTAAAGGGCCAACACAGTTTGGTGAGTTACCTCCTCAGACACACCAGATTACAACTTATCTGTTAATTGCCAGGTTTAATGGGTGTTAGTTTAGGGAAACCTCCAAACTTTAGTGGACACTGGCCCTCCAGAACTGGAGCTGTGCACCTCTGGTTTATCATAATGGAAAAAATGAAGCATATAAAATGTGCCATAATTTTTGATCAGCCAGCGTATGTTTTATTTATATTTGCAGAATGATAAATTCTGCCATTGAACAGTAGTTGTGCATTAAAATGTGCAAAAGTCTGTTCTCTGTAGATGTATTAACTTATTTTCACTTCAATCAACAATATATGTCATTTTACCAGTACCCAAACTTCTGCATAGAACTGTATCAGTGGATCCTTCCTCTGCATTGCTGTGGCGTTGCTGAGTGCCACATTCCCCCTGCTGGACAAAACCTCCTCTGGGCATCAATAACCTGGCTCTTATTCACTGGAAAGCAAAGGGTGATGATAGAGGCACAATAGGATATCAGTGATGAACAAGAAGCTATTTGATGCCAACCCTTCACAGGCCATAACCGCCCATGCTGGAAATGAGAAATAATAAGAGATGGAGCTACTTACCTAATATTTAAAAGGAACATTTATTATTATCCTTTATTATTATCTTTTATTGGTATTGACCAAAGTTTAAAACAGTGGATTTTACAATCCATTAGGCTGTGATAGAGGCTGTTTCTCATTAATTCTCTTTAAATCCCAATGGTTTGAATGTGATGCACAATGATGTTTGATATTTGCTCAGCATGGACGGCTGTATAGATTGGACAGATATTACAAACCGATATTTACAGATGTATTGACTGAACTCCAGAAGAGCAGAGTACTTAAGTGATGCTCCACTGTAAAATTTCTGTATTATATTAATTTTACTGCATTTCTAACCCTGTAAAAATCTATTTCAGATTCCTCTGTAATGCTAATCCAGGTGGATCTTTCTACAGTTTATAAATATTTATGTACTGGCGTCAGCAGATATGCACATGAAAAATATCAGATATCAGCATCAGTCCTTAATTCCCATATCAGTGCTTGTTCTCCATTTTTGGTACAGCAGTTTGACTCTAAACTAGTGTGAAGAGAAACTGAACATGGGCAAACCAAAGCTACAAAGCTCTTGCCAGTATTTGTGCACATCTCTGAACCAATGCGTAGGATGTAGGTCACTAAGATACGACTGCCAGAGATGCAGGCATGTCACTGGACTTGTTGGCAACAAAAAAAAATGTTGCTTATCAGAATTCACTCAGTATTCACCCTTTTCTCCCAGCAAAGCTGGTCTCTTTAGCATTTGCATAATCAGGATATTGCAGTGTAGTAATAGAACATTTATATGAAGATCCTTTATCATAAGAGCAAATAACAGATTCACACAGTGGTCACTTTTAACGAAATGGTGTTTTAAAAAAAAATCATGAACATTTATTAGTGTGCAAAGTGATGTAAACTTACACTGACAGGAAAAGAGAGAAAGGACGAAGCAAGAAGGTCAGTGTGGTGGTCAGACAGGTGGTGCAGTCACTGAGAGGGTGAAGATAACATTACAGGTAACATCAGCACACAAGCAGACAAATACACTCATACAGGTTATTCATCAACACTCACAGTGGAAAGACGAAGGAAAGGACACTGAAGGCTTTTACAGCAAGAAACATTACATTCACAACATTCATACATCGCTGTGTAAGTTCATAGATACAGATTCTGTACAAGAGTGAGTTCCTGTTGTGTTAAGCGGTTATTTTTTGACAAATTTTGGTCCAGTATAAATGACCGGGTCATAAGCAACTGTGTATTTTTTTTTTCCCCCTCACATAAAGACGCTCACTAGCTTGCTAGTCACCAGCCTGAGAGAACTTTTTTTTTTTTGAGGCTGCTGATGAACAGCAACAGTACAGATCAGTTTCTCACTCGTTTTGCAAATGCTAAGTTTTCTAAGTTATCACTTTATTTTTTTTAAAGCACCCAAACCAGTGTCTACTTTCTTTCTCCTACAATATAACATCTATTGCACTACAGTACATCGTCGTAGTTACAAAACCCTGAGGTTGCCCAGGACAAAGTCCTCACAAGGAGAGGAAAGGAGAGGAGAGTCACACCACAGAAGTCGGACTAGTCCCAATCTCCTACCACTGAAGTCCATTTTCTTTCTCACGCTCCGTACACACCCGACAAAAGGCAATTCCATCCAAACCGCAGACAGGAAGTGTGGTAGTGACCCCATACAGTTGCTCTGGAAAACGTTACAGTTTTGCGAATCATCCATTGCATCATTAGTAGAGAAGCAGGAGTGGCAGTCGTCACCGTTTAGATAAGATTACTGAAAACGCAGTTGGTTAGTACAAAAAACATCGATGTGAAGTGGAAGCTATACTGAACCCAATATGTACAACAATCACAAAAAGAAGAACAGAAATGTACACAACATAATCACAGATCATTAATGAAGCATTACTAGTTCCATTAAAAGTATATCTCAAAAAAGACATCTAGAAAAGGATAAACATTTCTCTCGATTCCCAACAAAAGATACAAGTACAAAATAGGCCAAATATACTGTATAACCTCAATGAAAATATTGCGCTTTTGTACAGACTGGACATGAAACTCTGAAAGTGCATGCACAAGCTTGAACAGTACCAGAACGGACTGAATAAGAATGTGTGATAATTATTTCCTATGCATGCTGTCAGTTTTCTCACCAAATGGCGATATTGGCCAGAAGAGCAGGAGTAGATGGGAATCTGCTGTCTGGAATCACCTTCAACTACTGAGTGCAAAGCAGATGAGAAGTGAGCACTCGGTATGGCTTGGGTCCAATTAGAGTCCGTTATTTCCCGCATGTCCAGTCGTAATGCGAAGTATGTCAAAGGTGATCGCTCTCACAATAACAACTAACAGTTGCTCTGAAAAACATAAATAAATACATAAACTGCAGCTCATTTGCCATGCATCTACTTTTTACTCATTTATATGGAACCAAAATAGTATTTCAGAGTGCATCCACTGATCACTGATCAAAAGAAAGGTCAGTGGCATAGGTGGCCGTAGCACAGTGATATGGAGGCAGGGACGTTACTACCTGAGGGGACGAACCAAAGCTTAAACACTGGCTTTGCGGTAATTCTAAAGAGCCTAAAGATGGCTTTAACCAATATTCCTCTGATTTGGTTTCATATGGCATTACTTCTGTCAAACGATTCATACAGATAAAAAGAAACTGCCTGTCACATTCCTGTCAGAACTCAAGGGCAGATTTCATCAGTGCTTAAAGTGTAGGACAGAGCAGCTCACTGACGAGCTGAAATGATTTATTATGCGCGTCATTTTAAAAAGACTGCTTTTCAATGCCGTTTAGTAACCTCCACATTGGTCTCTCTTTTTCTAATAGACTCATAAGCTGGAATAATAACTTCATTCAGCCGAAAGATCACATTTACATTGACCCCCGACATCATACGCACACAAAACGCGAGGATGTGTATCTCCATTCTGTGTTGGTCTGTGGAGGAAAGAGAAGAAGGTCATTCTTCTCTGGCCTCGAATTCCAGGACGTGTAAAAGATAACTGGAGAGGACATGGAAAATAAAGGAGCCACGTCTGTCCATATGCCTCTTAGTCAGTGTGGTATTGTTTAAATGTTTATTTTGGGGTTATGATGTCATTTTGGTATGTACTGTACATTTCCCTTGGAATCAAAAGTGCAAAAATACAAGGGGGGAAAGTGCATCGGTTTTGTCACAGATATTACACTTCAGTAGTTACTGGACAAAGTAAAGAGCCACTTTACTTAAAAAGTGGCAACTTCATAAATAAGGTTGCATCAGTAAGAGATCTTCATGAGAAACCGTAGATATTTAACTATATTGAGAAAAAAGACAAGATATTTGGGAAGACTGACGTTTCCCTTTCAACAAAAGCTGGAATCTAACTGATAAATGGCACTACATTCTCCTTTTGCTGATTAGGATATTAATCGCTGTGAGTGTTTTTGCCAGTGCTGCATGTTACGGTCGATATGCTGCCGACATACAGAGCTAATCCACAAAACGTTTTACCTCAGGGTTCAAACTACACAGACACTACGTCACTCTGGTTATAAAAATCATTGCACATTTACAAGGGCACATCTTCATTTTCATCATGCAGCAGAAGGGAACACAGAGATAGATGAATGGTTTATGTACAGGGCTGCAGGAGGAGGAGCCTTATTGTAGAAAGACTGCGGCGTTAAATATGAACCCAGGTTTAGATATAAATGTACCTTTTGGAAACCAGACTTGGCACAGGTTTCAGTGTATCACAGACAGAAGGTGTTTAAATGTCATTATTGAGAGCCTAATGTGCTGAAGCTCAGTAACTGTTGCTGTATCAGTGAATAGTTGGCTGTGTTTACCAATATATGTGTGTGTGTGTGTTTGTTTATGTTAGACAGCATTTGGTCACTTCACTGGGTAGGTGAGCAGTCGTCTAAGTCCAGAAGCTCCTTGACCAGCCTCTCTCCGAACTGAGCACGGCTGTAGCGTTTGCTGTGGTAGGCGTCAGACATCTTGTAGAGGATGTAGGCATTGTTGATGGCGATGCTGATGGTCAGCCAGAACACCTGCTGCCACGTCTTATTGGGCTTGTGGAAAATGAAGTACCTGCATTTGCAATTTAAAATACATTGTCCTTTTTAACCCCTAAAACTTCTTTAATAGGCACATAAAAAGGCTCATTATTCAGTAATAAATAGAAAGCAATACAAAATGATGGAGTTATAAGTAGGTTATAAGAGTGAGTGAATGTTAAGATTTATTATTCAGCAACAACTATGAAACTAATATGTATGTTATATAGTTATGAGAGTGGGTAAATTAAAGTGTTGGCTACATTCGCATCCACAAATATAGAGTTTAAGGGTTTAATACACCTCATATTCATCTATTTCAGCTACAGTCACTATCACTACTGGGTGAGACATTTTTGGGGATGCAGTACCCTCCGGAATTATTGGCACCTTTGATAAAGATCATCAAAAAAGCTATGAAAAAAAATTCTTACACTGTACAATACTGTGCAAAAAATCCAAAACCACCCATCATTTATTCAATCTCCAGTCAAAACGGTCATTAAATGCACATTGTTATATTAGTTTTTTAGTATTTAATGTGCCCACACTTTGCCTTTATTGCAGCCTCCATTCTTTTTGGGAGACTTGCTTTCAGTTTTTCAAAGAAATCTACAGGGATATTTTTCCACACTTCCAAAGTTCAGTCTTAGAAGTTGCATTTTGTGCTTATCACAATCCAATAATCTATTAAACGGTAACTACACCATAAGACCTTTTTTCATTAATAGCTGAAATGCATTGTTCTGTAATAACAATATACAACAGCCTTGCTCGAAATGTGAACACATCTTTCCAACCTGTAAAAAGTTAATTTTATCGTGGTCAGTTCGGCCTCTGCAGCAGCCCTCTGGTTCAACTCTGCTATAGGCGCGGATGACATGTCTTCATACCAAAGTATGTGACACGTCACAGTGTGCAAATCAGTCAACCAACGTTACCACCCCCTGATGACGCCCTACTTGTGCACAGAGCCATGTAGAGAGATGGTTCTGCTCATGCCGTGCTCATAAATATGAAACCATACAAGTCTAGAGCGAGGGAGAACATCGGCGCTGTTTTGGATGTTTTTCCATACATAACGTCTCATCCCATTTAGCATATAATTTAGTGTTCTACTTAATTATTATTAGTAATTATTAGTGTATTTGATGATATTGTAGTTTTTCGCCTTTTAGACTTAACTAGCCTTATACTGATAACGTTCAACGTATGATTAGGTAACCTGACGGACCGATTAAGTGAGGATTCTTGCAAGTCTCCATAGAACTGCTGATAAAGGCCATGAACAGCTTGCAGAATGTAAGGACTTAGGGCCACTGCAGCAAACCCTGGATGACCAGTGGGGCTGTGTACGTCCAACCTGGTCTGTGAACAACTTGTTTGGTACGATACAGTCTCCCTGTTATACTACTGTGCTTGCAATCAAACAGGCAGCATGCAAAAAGCTAGGCTGTGATGCTGGTAATGCTAGTAAACGGCTAGCATAAGCTAACTAGCTTAGGCTACAAAGGTTGGGTTAGCTTTTTTTTCTGCATTAACTTTTAACATACTCCCACCACCCTACTGCAAATGTTCTCAACCAGTGAGAGATTTGTACAGTGCCCACAAGTGCACCTGTATAGAAAGAAATGTTACCCTAATGGCCTAATAGAAGTATGTTTTTTCATAGCTTGATGAACGGAACTTAGACAGAGTTCATAAAAATCCACTTTATTCTTTCGGAATTCAGTGCATGCAAGAAATCAGGACTCGGGTTATCTCAAATATGGACCTGCTGAACAGATAATTAAAAGCAAGCTGTCACAGTTTCAGGGAACGTTGTACTGTTCAGACGCCTCTGCCGCTCACTGTTAATCATTTTCCGGCACTACTTTAACTCTTCAGCGGCTTGAGTCAGTGGCTCATACTGCTGAGGCTCAAGACGCACTGCCTAATCAGAAATTCGCTCCCTCGTCGAAGATATGGCTATAGTGGAGAAAATCTTCGACCTCGTAAGACCTCAAAGTTGCATGTGCCGTTTGATTCTGTCACTCTCCATATTTCCTGGTAGCTAACATATGCTAGCTCTAAAAACACAGCAGCCCAGCCCACCTGGTTTCTTTCACAGCCCCGCCTCTAAACCCAAACATTCCTGCAGTGCACTCCCAATGTGCCCCTCCCCCTCCCGTGTTTGAGCATTTTTCAAAGTTGACCCAGGGCTGAAAATAGTGGGGTGTAGTTACTCTTTAACCGCCCCAGAAATGTCTACTGAAAATGAATAAGTTGAACTTGTGGCCATTTTGACAGGAAATTAAATAAATGCAAAGAATTGATTACTTTTTCAGTATAACATCAAGATAAACAACAAACACGTCTTAGCAAAGGTACCAATGATTTTGGACGATGTTATTTGGCAGAGCATAAAGAACAGACGTAATAAACCCTGCTTACTTGCTGTATTTGTCATCATATTTGCAGATGTAGCTCAGGTGCGCTGCAAAGGCTTCCACAGCTAGGGGACATGGAATTTCTCCACTTTTCCTCTTGATAATCACCCCTAGAACCAGAGCAGAAGTGTTAGCATGGCCTACATACACAGGATTTACATCTGACATGCGGCCAACAAGACACAGATCTTTCTTCTATTAAGCAGACTCTTTGAGTAAAAGGGCCTGGTGTGTTACTGAGTAAATACAACAAAGCTTCAGCAACACTTTGATTGCAGTTTGGCAAAATGAAACCAGTGATTACTAATAAACTAACGCTGCTAGAACGACTGAGAGCTCTTTGCTATCAGATGTAAACCATTAACAGGCCTATGATGCTCTCCGGCTAAAAGGAGCTCCCATCTGTCGCATTAAGGAGCTTCCTGTATATTACACTGATATACACTCTCGTCACAAACAGCAATGATGCATGCAGACTGGAATAAAACAGGGCACCATACAGAGTGCAGTGAGACTGGGGAGAATGTGGTGACAGCGGTTGCTCCTACGCAGCAACTTAGTCTGCTTTGGTTAAAGTGATAGTTCAATGAAAAATCTAATTTATAAAATCTTCCTTCCTCACCCCAAATGTAGTCAGGCCAAGACACGTTTGACGTCCAAAGCTGTCTCCTTATTCATGTTTAGCACTGCTACGAGGCTAATGAAGCTATCATATGCCTAAATCATTACACATTTGCCTCAAATAGCATCGAGTTGTTAAATATTCTTAACTAGACTTTTTATGTCGTTTCTGACAAAACAGCAATAGCAGCAGTCTTAAAGCCTGTTGTCCTTTTTTTACACTTCATCACTGTGGAACAAAACCATGTATCTCCAAAATGGTAATTTTATAGGAGAAGAGAAAAATTTTCTTAACTTGTAATGAAAGTTAATGTATTAGGATTTTATCCACGTTTTTCTGGACCAGTTCTGTTGCTCCATTCATCATAAAATTTCAGCACAATGTAAAGCGTAACTAGACTGTTCAAATAATGCAAACAAAAGAAAAATGACAAAAACGGACAGACAAGGTTTTTGTGTGACAGCAATGATTTATCCATTTTGCAGATACTCTTATGTGGGATTTAGATTTTAAAAAAAAGGATTAGACTTCAAAAATTTGCAAATTAATGAATTAATGAATTAATAAATGTGCAAAAATAGGCCACTGACCAGTTCATTGTAACCACTTAGTTGCCCACCAATGGCAAACAGAACTCTACTGGAGTTAGTGGAGTTGGAGTTTCAGTGTCTTTGAGCTTAGCAAAGTGGTTTTAGTATCTGCTGAACAGCAACTTTCATCTGTCGTGTTTAAACATGTACATGTCCCAGTTTTTCATTATTAGCAAAAGTGTTCAGGTTACATTTTATTTTTGTAATATGAGTAGAATTAATCAAATGGGGTGAAAGCCATCTTACAGTTTCAGGATATTAGATTAAAAAATCCAACCTGATCCCATTTTCACCTTTATTTTGCACTAGATGTGTAGGATATTTATAGAAAACCGATTCCATCATTTCTTAGTGGCTGTCAATCCAGTATCTGCCACGTAAGTCCATCTACAAACTTTAATCTCTCAGCTGCATTTTAGCTCCATCCAGCAGCTTTTGCAAATTCTGCGAATTCCATATAACTATTTAAGTGCTTCATAGCTGCTCAAATCAGAGAATAACAATTCCCTGTACAGATATCACTCTATATAGTCTTCATGAAAAGACTGCTTTAGTCTAAATAAAATTACATAATTACCTCTCCTGGAATAATGTCAAGACTTGTTATATCATAAGAGTAATTCAGAATTCAGATGAACAAGATTAACATTAGAATGCCTGAAATTTGGAGAAGTTCTATTGCATTAACAAGCAAATGACTGTGTCCTTCCAATCAGGCCAAAGACACATAGAATACAGAGAAAAATACTTCTGGATTTTCAGAAGCCCTGCGGTCTCACTCAAAAAAACTCTAGTGCCAGCAAATTGACACATCTCCTGTCAAGCTGCTGTCAGACTGGATCAGCGCATCAACTGAAAGAAAAGTGAAAAGCATGGCAGAGAACATAATGTGATGAAGCTTTGCGTCTTATAATCCATCAACTTGCTCGACATAAACTTAATCCACTCACATCAGCATAAAAACCACTTAGCTCCACTTCCTGAGAGGAAGCTAGCAAATGTGTTTTGGTTAAGGGCTTACATGTGATAACTGTCCATGTCACATCCTATTCCATTGCTCTTCAGCTGAAATGGACATTTTTGATGATGTACTCGCAGCACTTAAAAAAAGTCTATTTGAAAGACTTAAGTGCAGTAGAATCCACCTGATGTCTCCTAAATGAAATACACAGGCTACTGAGATGAAGCTGCTTGGTTCATACCTTGCTTGGTAGGGGGGTACGCATTGGTGAGGAACCGGAAGTTGCCCTTGTTGTACCAGCTGATGAGAGACATGTTGCCCTTCATCTTGGTGCGGTACTGGCCCCGCTGCTGGGGGGCCTCAGGATTGCGCAGCATGGACGGAGGCAGACCTGTACAGTCACTCTTCCTGGTGCTCAGCAGCCCACAGCAATAGATCTCTGAACAAGACAGCGAAAGGAAGACTTACAGCATTTGACTACTGTAAATGTAGTCTGCAGCATAGTCTACAAATAACTGACTGTGTTTTTCTCCAAGTTATTCATTTTTCTGATGTTTCTGAGGAGATGTGAGATAATCCAGGAACCAAAATAAATTGAAAAAGCAGGTGTTTCCAAAACTGTTTAAGTTTAAGAAATGATTAATGATTAATGATTAACACCCACAAGACCTGGTGGACCACCTGATACTCTCAGAACAATGGACTGGCCACTCTAGAGTCCAGACCTCATCATCACTGAATGTGTTTGGGGTTACTTGAATTGTGAAAAGCACAAAATGCAACCAATTTCTAAGACTGAACCTTGCAGGTGTGGAAAATATATATCCCTGCAGAGTTCTTTGAAAAACTGATATCAAGTCAGTAATAAAGATAAAGAGTGGACACACTAAATATTGAAAAATTGAAAAAAGTTTCTTAGAAATTAGTGAAATCTTCTGTTAAATATGTTTTCTTCTTTTTTACAGATGTTGAAAAATAACCATTTTGACTGGCCATAAAGTAAATGAAGAGTAGACTGACTTCTACACAGTACTGTACATCATAGTAGGAGTACATCATGTATTCTGAAAAACTGCCTTAACTGCACAACATTTTCAAAACTTTAAATATCACTGCTTGCTTCCATACTTGTTTGGCCTGTTTAATATGCATGAAACACTGACACAAACTCAACCAATAAAATCAGATTTAATTACAGAACAGTTTTACTGTTCAGTTCTACACAAAGGGACGTCTGAGCTGGTCTGTGTTGTGTATTTAAACAGCTGCTCTCCATATAGTCATGTTAGACACAACACTGACCGCTACACTGAGGCCAGTAAAGATCTGATTATTTCTCACTTCCAGCCTCCTCACCAGATCCAGCCTGATTCTGATGTTCATCAAACGAGTTTGTTTAATAGGAGAGCTGTTTGCCTTGAGGTAAAGAATCTAAAAGAAGGCTAAACTGCCATTTAACCTTGCTGACATGAACACAGTAGTGCTTACAGTTCACTGTGCCCTTGTTCTTCCATGTTGCTCTAATTACCAGAAGGTACTGTATATACCGAAATGATAGAACTAATATATGATGACATACTCCTCTACTGAAAAGTCAAGGTCAACTTTTGACTAGGTCAACAGTTGACTCTCTCCATTTGTAACTTGCTTGTCTTGTTGTGGCTAATTAAAAACTGCAGGGGTGGTGGAACATCAGCTGGAGAGGAGATTAGAGTGAAACAAGGAGAGAGAGAGAGAGAGAAAGAGAGAGAGAGAGAGAGAGAGAGAAAGAAAGAGAGAGAGAGAGAGAGAGAGAGAAAGAGAGAGAGAGAGAAAGAAAGAGAGAGAGAGAGAGAGAGAGAGAGAGAGAGAAAGAACTCTCAAAATGAGACTGAATGAATTACAGTCTGAATATTACATAAAGCCTAAGAAATGTGAACACATCCTTTTGGAAATAACTGTGGTGATGTAATATATTTTATTCATGTAGAACTGATGTATATATTTGAATAAAGTAAAATTAATGTATTCATTTTTTTTTCAGTGCATCTAAAAACATTCAAAACCGAACTTGCCAATGTTACCACACTGAAGACAAGACCAAAATATATTATTATTATTATTATTATTATTATTATTATCATTATTATTATTATTAGTATTATTAGTAGTAGTAGTATATATATTCCTTTATAGTAATTTTTTACATTAATTGTTTTATGAAAATCTTTAACGACAATCGCATAATTAAATAATATAATACTGACTAATACATTTTTGAAAAGTAATTCAGCCTTTGTTTTGTGGGTGTTTCTTCTCTTCAAATGATGCACAAAAATACAATCTGTAGGCTAACAGCACCTCCAATTAGAGAAACGTCCAACGTCACACATGTGCTCATGTAAATGGGTAAAGCCCTGTCTGTGTATTTTATTTATCAAAAAACTAGCCATTGTCTGTTGTTATAGCAGAGCTCTGGAATTCAGTTATTGATGCCTGTTGAATACCATGAAGTATTATATTTTCAGAATTTTACAACCTATCTGAATCACCAGAACACTTCAGATAAATGGAAAATGCTGAATTTTCCTCAGACTGAATGTCACACTCTGGGAAACCCCGGCATGGTTTTTACAATGTATTTTGCAGCTTTAGAGTTAACTTTTCAGTAAGTACTAAAGCCTATCTCTGAATATTACTGGATTAGCCTGTTAGTCATTTATCATCACCTGAGTTAGTTATTAAAAAGCTTTCTTACATAGGAAATGTTTACTATGGTTTCAGGCCTTTTAATTCATTTTTTAATTTATTATTGTGATGGCAAACATACTTGCAATAGTGATAGCCAGCATATTTTCCTCCTCCAAGCCGGTGCCAAGGTACTCAACTTTACAAAGCCTCTGGCTGCGCATGAGTTTATTTTATCAGAGTAGGGAAACGCAGAGCATAATCTGATTGTGAAGTTTTATGAATCGATGCAGAATTTTTCAAGAGAGAATCACCAAGCATCTAAGAATCGATTGTTTTTCTCATCCCCTGCAATACGTTCCAATGGATTTTGACACTTTATTAGGCTGCATTGTGCAATGCAAACCATGACTCGGAGAAGGAAGGAAGAGATAAAGTGATAGTGACATGAAGTGCTTGAGTGCTCACCCTGCTTCTCAAACTCCTGGAACAGGTTGAGGCTCGTGATGCTGGGGCCAGTGAAGATGATGGCACTGCGGCCAGCCAGGTTCTGACAGAGCTGCTTAGCCACCAGGCTGTGGAGCTGTGGCTTCTTCAGGGTGTCCAGACCATCTGGACCAGGGGCTTCTTTCAGATGGACATAGATCTGCAGAGAGGAGGCATTATATGCTCAGGCTTAGTTCACTGGGACTTGTTTCTTATATATGTCATGGTAAAAATGTGCCATATCCTGGTCTGGTCAATTAATCAAGACATAAAAATCTAGACATCATTCACCTGAAACTAACTGGGACAAGCCAGTCTTGGCCTGTTCCCCAGACAAACAACAGCAGTCCTTTTCTCCACTAGACTCAGATCATTATATTAAAGGGCTTGGATTTTCTTTTAGCCAGTAAATACTTGGCCAGAAAAACTGCCCAATTTATTAAGTTATTTTATAGTCAATCAAACTTCAAATACGGAAAGAGACAATAAAAACAACTGTGACTAATGGGAAAGATTAAAATGGGGCTACATTTTTAACTTTTACAGTTCTGTTTTAAAACGCAGGCCTATCTGATATGGAATAACATATTAAAAGCAGTTTTCCAGAACAGGAATAAATGATTAAAATATCACAGGGCAGCAACAAATCATAAATAAAGAATAAATTCTAAGGTTTTCTTACATCTTGTCGTAACCCAAATCAGTGTTTCCCGCTCATAGGCCCCTCCAAGTATATTGACTTATTATGCATAAACAAATGCACACTTCCCCTAACATGAGATGCAATATCAGCTGCTTGTGTTTTCTTTGGTTTCTTTGGTTCGATGCCACATATAATCTTACAATATCGCAAGATAATACACAACTTCTTTCTTTGTTTTAAAATTCCAAACCATATATGCCTTATCTGAATACTCACAATACTGAAATGAATTTGGATGTATCAGCATTTAAAAGTTTGGAGTTACTGTTCAAAGGTTTGGAATTGATGTTTTTAACAATATAAAACTAATTTTGTTGCAGACAAGGTGTATAAAATTACACTAATATGTTAGTCTGGTGCCTCTTCAGGATTTATGATGATTACTAGGACACTAGCAAGTTGTAAATAGAAACAAAGAAAGGTTAGGTGTGTCCAGCTCAGAATAGAGCTGCAGATGATTTTGAAAATGACTGAGAAAGCTGTATAACATTGAGAGGTTAAAATAAAAGTCTAAAAATCTATACTTTGTCATATTTCAAAAGTGGAGATCAAATCTCAAGATAACATGATAAAAATGAATGTAAAGGAATCCCAGTATATTATTTAGCATTTTATTCACTTCTGCTTCACATAATTAATAATAATAATAAAGTAAATGAGTACAAGTTATCAAAATAGTAGTCTAGTTATATTAGTAAAAGTCATAATTATTAAAAGTCAAGATTAACAATCAGACCATGCTACCTAAAGACAACAATCAGGGTAAAAACAACACAGCAGTGGCAGCGTTTCAAAACACAGTAGAAAAGATCCAAATGGTACAGCATATAATCATATTTGTGTAGATTAAGGCACTTCTCTCCTGCCAGTTGTTTGGTTGAGCTCTGGATGAATGGCCTGAGTAAGCTTCAGGGCAGAGAGCATTACTCAGAATGGACAGCTTGTGTTATTGAGGCAAGCCCTTGCCAACACTGGGCCTTAGTGTAAAACCCAGATACATCTCTCTCCAAAGCCATACCTCGACTGCCTCATTACACTCATTCGTTCAGCCTTATGTCATATGACATACACTGTTACTCCATACGGTCCACACTGATACTATAGCTCTATCACGCTGCTGCTTGCTGTTGTGCCCTTTCATTTTAACATTATGTACATAATACATTAGTCTAGAGTTGTTCTCTTCTCTTTCTGCTTCCAAAATGATTAAATGTCCACATTTAAACTTGACTGACTGCCAAGTGCTGATCTGTTGGCAGTGAACTGGCACTATTAGTAAATGGCTGAAGTGAGGAGGAGATCCAGGACAACATAGCAACTATGACTGCAAAAGCACCCTTGTCTTGGTTAAATAAAATGTTCTTGCATCAGTTTGCCAGAAATCTGGCAAATGTCTGTGGTGCTGATGGTTTCAATTCACTGAACAATCCTCTAAAAGAGCTTTTGGAGAATGACAGAGACCAAGGGACTCTCAGCTACAACTGCCAAGTGGACAAGCAGTCTGTTTGGTGGATTTGAGCCACAGTAAAAAATTTCAAGGAAGCATGAAATATATTGTTGCTGCCGGAACAAAACCTTGTATCTTATAATAATGTTTAAAAAAGGGTTTTGTTCCAACAGTGACAGTATAGACCAATCAGCCACCTACTTGTTTCTACACTCATTGTCTACTTTATCATATAGGTCCACTTTGTAGTTCTACAATTACAAACTGAAGTCCATCTGTTGCTCTGCACACTTTAATTATGGAATATTGAAATTTGCCAAAACTACCTACTATGTACAGAGACTGAATTTCCACACTAGGGGGCAGCCTGCATTCTGATTTGATGAGTATTTTAATGCTATGCAATGTACTATCAAAAGCACTGCAGTCACTAAGTGTAAATTATGCCGTGGTCAAGAGCCTAGCTAGTAGCACTGTCTCTACTCTGCTAGCAATGGAAACAGATAGTGACTTTCAAAAACTCTGTAGGCATGCGGTTGACTTGTGCCCTCAAAACAACTACCGAGGCCCACAGCATCCATGAAGGAGGTCCGGCAAAGTGACAGTGACCGGATCAGATGCTCTGTTACGGTTTTACTACAAGGAATTGTATTTTGGTCTACTGGACAAAACTGTTCAAGTAATCCGTGCTCAGTTTCAGGAAAAGGACGTGGAAAGCCTAATCGCACTGAACAACATTCTCAGCTATAGAACACACACTGAAGTGGAGCTGGCATTTGTTTGTCATTGCTATGGATTTCTCAAAGAGGAGATGAGTAAAGAGCTGTCCTTCGTCAACACTACGCAATCAGAGGAAATCAGCTTCGATCAACGATTAGCACTTTTTAAAGAGTCAGATCTAGGTGATAGCCTAGTAAACATCGGTAACCTCTGCAAATTGCTCCTGACAGTTCCAATGAGCAGCGCATCATGCAAAAGGAACTTGCGTCAACTGAAAACTTATATGAGAAACATTGTGAGTCAGAAGAGACTGTCTGACAGTGCAGTGATGAATACTGAACGGGACACTGATGTGGAAAAAACAATCAGTGCATTTGATGCTGTGCCTGGAGGGCGTCATCTTGCACTTCACTAAGGTAGGACATTGTTTATACTTTGATAAATATGGGTTATTTGCAAAATATAGGTTTTACATTTACTCTATAGTTGACTGAGATGTGTCCTTGAGCAAGGCACCTAACCCCCAGCTGCTCCCTGGGCGCCATGGATAGGGCTACCCACCACTCCGGGCAGGTGTGCTCACTGCCCCCTAGTGTGTGTTCACTAGTGTGCATGTACGCAGGTGTTTCACTGCACGGATGGGTTAAATGCGGAGGTCTAATTCCTTTGTGTGCAAGCACAGTTGGCCAATGGTTCTGAATTTGAATTCTAATTTAAACGTTGTCCATAGTCAGGACCCCCACAGGATCATCACAAACACATGGAAGGACAGAAGTGCCTTAATCTACAGGCATATGCTGTGCCATTTGGATTTTCTGGTTTCACACACTGCTGTTTGTGACACATCAAGAATGTGTGTGTGATGGCTGTAAGAATGTGATTGTGGTTACCTGACAGATAAAGCCAGTGGAGCTGCACTGTCGCACCCACAGGCTGAACTTCCTCTTTTTCCTCTTCCGCAGTTCCCTCTCTGTACATGTGGTGATGAAGACGGGGTCCTCATCGATCAGGGGCTCGTGGAGGACCTGAGGGAAAACAAGATGGTCAGAATGAGCACAGTGTAATCAGTGGGACACACACTGCCATTCAACAGTCAATGGTTTAATGAACAGAACTGTGGATGATTCTAAAATGACTGAGAAAACTATATACCATCAAGATTAAGAAACATTTGATACATGACCGGTATCATGATACTCTGCTTTTCTGATATTTGATAAGTTGGAGCAGACAAAAGAAGGAACATTTAAAAATACAAATCAAAAATTCATGATACAATATTGTTATTGACTATTGACTGTTCTACACTGTACTGCACTAAATCCAGTTAAACAGGATTAATTATGCTCTATCTAATGAAACACTGAGTTGGTCAGTGCTCTCGAGATACTGATAGAATCAATGATATGCTCAGAAAAACATACCATCATACAATTTATCATGATACCAAAAAATACTGTTCAAACCATTACAGTATATTATTTATCACTTAAATTTTTGTTGTACCCAAGAGAACAACTAAAACACCTTTTGATGTCCATTTCCTAATATTTACATTTTCACAGTATAAGTACTACTGCATGTCTGGGCCAGTGTGTCATATACAGTGGTACCCAAGTCAACAGTGTTTCAGTGCTGACTCACTGATCCCCGACAGCTGCTCGTGAGTGAAGTTGTACTGAGCAGTGGCTCCCTGCCAGTCGTCGGATCAGGACTGACTACGGAAATTCACTGGGATCTAGTTGGCGTAGCGCGTGTTGCCAAGGCGATGTTGCCATGGAACTGGGAAAACCAAGAGAGCAGATGGTGTTTCATTTACTCATGACAGACCAGCCACTGAGGTGCTGTCTCTCAACTGCACCACACTGGGGACCCTAAAACACACCAGTGATGGATGGATAATGTGAAGCCCTGAACACCAAGCTAATGTGACTCTTTCGTTTCACAGCTGTTCAACCAGAACGTCTATGTAAAGAAGAAGTTAAAACGCAAGCCCTCTGGCACTGACAACAAAAGAACAACCCACGGTTTCAAGAAGAGCCTAATTATCCACACATCTGCTCTTTTACAGCAAATTACATGGTCTCACAGGGGCATTTTCAGTAGGAGTAGCTGGGCCAGAAGGCTGAGCTCTGAGGTGAGGGAGCTGCTTTCAAATCATTACCTTAATTTCTTCACTCTGGTGTTAAAATTTGAAGATCAAGAAAAGAAAAACAGCTATAAAAAAGCACATATTTCTTGTCTGGCACAAAAAAAAGCACCAAGCAATGTTGGTACTGCTCACAAAGTATGGTTGACGATTCTTTCTAATTAAAAAGGAATAAACAAAAAAATCCACAGAGGATGCATTATGATATCGGAATTATTGGCAGTGGCAGATTATTGTTAAAAATATGTTATCGGCACTGGACAGATGTTTAGATTCAAGTGGTCTTTCAAACCAATATTTGATGAATGTATTTATTGCGGTCCAGAAGAGCAGATTGTTTAGGCAATGCTGACCTGCTTGCTAAAATATCTGCATTTTATTTGTATCACCGGATTCATAAACAAACTGTCATTGTCCAGAAAAGACAACATGCATCTCCACTTTTTTTGTTTTTATTTTTCTACATCATTTAAACACAGCAGCTGTCCCTTACATTGTGTGAAAATCTCATAAAGAATGGGCCAACAGAAATGCTCCAAAATTACTTGGAATAAAATCCCATTACATGTATTTTCATCAAAAGCTAAGAACTTTTTTGTCTTCTTCTATAAAGTTACCATTTTGAAGATATGTTTTTGACACCAACAATATGTTACATCTCTCCGTAATGCTAATTCATGTGGATCTCATCCCAATTACTACATTTGTAAATGAAAACATACTGGCATCAACAGATACAATAGCATTCAAAAGTTTGGAGTCACTATTCAAACGTTTGGAATCAATGCTTTCAAATATAAAAAGCAATTTGGTACCAGACAAGTGTATAAAATGGCTCTAATATGTTAGTCCTGATATGCTGTCCTCTACAGCTTTATGATTAGTATTAGCACACCAGGAGGTTGTAAATAACAATAAGAAAATTTTATTTGTGTCCAGAATGTGAACAGATTTCTAATTGATTTAAAACAACGAAGTTGTATAACATTGATAACTGTTTAAATAAACAGTTTAAACTATAAACTGTTTAAATTATAAATAATAAGTTTAAATAAAAATAATATCTATACTTCATCATATTTCAAAAGTAGAGATCAAATCTCAAGATAACATGCCAAAAATGAATGTAAAGAATTACAGCATATTATTATTTATCATTTCACTCACTTTTTGTTAACAGAATACTTGATCTATTGAATACATCATCTACAAATATCTTTTGACAAATTATCTGTAATATTTACATCAGTGTTTGAGTTGTTATTGTATATAAAATTAGAAAAATAATTAATATGGTAAGTAAGATTTTAAATGTTGAAAGCTAGTGTATGTACATGAAAAATTTTGGATATTGGCATGAGCCCAGAAAAAACATAGCAGTTCATCTTTAAAACAAATAGTTATCTGAATTTATCACTGTTTATCTTCATTAGGGCTGCCATGATTAATCAATTCAAACTAAAATAAAGTATAATTTACCTTCTCAATTCATTGTGATAAACGGATGACTTTTAATGAAGTGTTTTTAAAGATTCCTAGTTTATTTTATTTAGTATTTTGAACTTTTTGAAAGGTTATGTATGCTTTGTTGTTGTTTAGTGTGATTCACTCTGATTACTCAACTAACCATCAAAATAATCAATACATTACTCTATCTGATCCTTATTAGTGTAATTTCTGGTTTACTGTTATTCTTCCACAGATTCCTCCACAGAGACACTTAGCTCGTCAGTCTTGATTTCCACTCTGCCACACTGCCTGGACAGAGAGCAATACTGGAACGTAGTTTGGGAAGACAGAATGTGTTTCTTATCCAGACTGAGTAACACTGAGTAATACAGTGTGACAGAAATTGCTTCAGTGTGTCCATGATTTCCACTCTATATCTGGCTATTTGTTTGTATCTATGAATAGGCAGTTCAGTAAATGTACACATCTTATCCATTTATGACAAAAAGGCCTGAAATTAAGAATTCTAGGGAAAGTTTGTCACTCGTGCTTGTTTTAACACTTAAACGTTCACTTTCAGTTACACTGCTGTGGCTTTCTCCTCCTCCAGCCTACAAAAAAGCAGTTCATCTTCATCATGTCCTGCTCTTTTGATGCCACATTAATTCTTGCCCACATTCTTCAGCTTCCTGTTCTCTGCCAGTTCAGCATTAGCCCGTAATCTAAAGATCGCCTCATTTCTGGATAAAGGCGGGGACGGAGTTTAAGCTCTCAGGAAGAGAAGCCGTTTCTGTATCTGAGAGCTGGGACAGGACGTGGCTGGCGGGTCCGGGTGGGGTGGGGGGTGGATTCATGGGAAGTGCAAATGGAATTGGCAGAGTTGGCAGTACTGCATTCACTGTGGCAGGTCAGGGAGGTTATTTATTATTCAGAAACAGAATGCATTATCATTCTGCATCTCATAAGCATCAAATCAAGCACAAGGTTGCTTTCTTTACAGGAGACATCCGAGTTACAAAGCAGCATATTAAAAAACACCAGTGCTGACATTCAGATATAGGACCTATATCCTACATTTTTCTTGTATTTTATTTTTTCCATTTATAACATTTGTGCAGTTTTGTGTACGGAAAAATTGTCAGAATTAAGACATTAATTTAAGACTGATATCTGTAAATGATCTTTGCTCTGATTGGCTGCTCTGTATTGTGTCTCATGCAAAAAGCACTCAGAGCTGAAACACTCCTTAGGACTTCAGGGTGAATGGGCGTGGCTAAACTGCTGTAGGCTGAATAGGTGTTTATGATGAATATGTGAATATGTTACAAACAATGTGAATATCTTAGAAACAATGAATACAAAATGGGATGTTTTTGCAGTTTAGTTTCCATATATGGACTGCATGGACTGTGGAGTGAATTTAGAATTTTACCAGTGTTTATTTATTACTTCTTTATTTCCTTTAACTCCTCTATTTTAAAAAAAAAAAGCAAGGGAAATTCAGTTTTCCATGATATGGGCCCTTTAAAGCAGTGGCTCTTATACCGTCCTCAGGGCCCCAGGCTGGTCTATATTGTTGCTTAATTCCAAACACAGAGGGATAGAGCAAAAATGTGGACCATATGAGGGCCCTGAGGACTAGAGTTAGAGATTATAAAAGAGTAGAGAGATAATAAAGTATTCCTTTATTTCCTTAACAGAATTTTTCCTTTCATTCTTTACTGAAGGTGTTATTATGTTCCATGATAGCTATCCAGAGCAGGTAAACAATCATTATAGAGGTGGACAATATGACAATATTTTATTGTAGATGTGATAATATGAGCATATTGTGCATTTCGTACCGACCAAGAGGAAGACTGCTTAAAAAGAGAGCATATTTTTCCCTGATTAACTGGATTTTGTGCAGTACAGTATGTGAGATATAATATCTAAGATATTTAATAAATCAGTATTATATACTTTTTTATTGCTATTTTTAAACAAGGCACTATTAGTGTAATGTGTCTGTGTGTCAACATATTGAAAAGTCCTTTAAGTATCATGATACAATATTTCTGCCATTTCACCCACCCCTAACTGATTATATAAGGTAATACATGATTATATTCAAGAGTGATATCAACACTGAGTATTTCTGACAGAGAATTATTACAGCGAGTTTATTTTGAGCTAAAATCTGGTCATTTACAAAGAGGTCTGTCAAAGGAAATCATAAAAATGTCACAGGAAGCCTGTAAGCTCCTCAATTGTAAAACAGCATAACTCACCCATGAGGCTCTGAGCTAGAGTTTCAGTAACATTTCCAAATCTCAGCTCTGACAAATAGGCCATCTTTCCAACCATGTAGAGGACTGAATACTCCTCTCTCTTTCTGTCGCTCTCTCACTCACTCACTCACTCACTCACTCCTTCATGGTCGTAGTCGTACTCATAGTGTCCTTTGATCTTTGACAGAAAATGTACACGCTGTGTGGAAATTTCTGACCGTCGTGGAGAGACAGGCTTGGACCAAATCCTGTCACTGACCACATACTCTCAGCAGTCCAATAGGATAAACAATTTTGACCTGTGGAAACCTTGTGGATGAACTGCTAATTATTAAGCCTCCTATTATCTTTGGGGTCTTGGGGGTCAGTTGACCCCAATCAATGTTTAACGTCTCCAAATAAATAATTGACAATTTTTTGCTTCATATTTAATGACTTTTCCTAATTTAATGGGCACAATGGGGTAAACATAACATTAACATGATGATATGTTTTGAATGTCCTGTACACATTTTGTACACATTGGTGTTCTTTGGGGTCAGTTTGACCACAGGCTGTTTAACTGCATAAAACATAAGAAATATCAATATTTCACACACTTGTTTTAAGGATAAAAGATGTTAGTAAATTTAAAGATAACATGAGGGTTAAAGGAATCCATCAACCAAGCATGTCAACATAGCTAACAATGAAATGGACTTTCAATTAGCAATTATCAAGTCATTTGCATAATCCTTACTGCTAGATATTCACCTTCATTTCTCTGTTAGCAATGTTTGCATTCTGGGCTGAACTGCTCCTTTCAGTTCAGATTCCTACAAGCATATCGCTGTTGTCGGAAGAAAACCTTTGTATCTCCAAAACGGTAACTTTACAGGAGAAGGAAAAAACCTACTTTACTTTTAATGTAAGTCAATGGAGCCAGACTTTTTTCCAAGTAATTTTGGGTCATTTCTTTTGGTCCATTCATCATAAAGTTTGCACAGAATGTAAAGGGCAACAGGCATTTTCAAATTATGCCAAAAACTGAAACAAAACAAAAATGGAGATATGAGATTTTCTTCCAACAACAGCGATATGCTGAATACAATAACTTTAACATTGCAGAGTTAAAATACACTTAAAGGGCCCATATTTTAAGTTGTATGCACTCATTGTTTCAAGTTTCAAAACATACCTTAAACTCTCAAATCCAAGCAGAATTCACTGTTTCCATGATTTTTTGTAATGAGGCATAATAAAGGGCAGCCAATCAGAACAGAGTTCATTAAATTTATATTAGTGTTAAAGGCACAGTAAAAAACAGCCTGTTTAAGGGACAGAGAGAGGCTGTTTTGAGACTGTTTTGCTACATAAAACCATATAAATAAAATGCAAGACAAATGTAGGATATGGGCCCTCATATAAGGTGAGTCTAGTCACTTCTTATAATAGCCTTGTGAATAACCTCTGTAGGTTTAGAGACAGATAATTTGACCCTCCTTCTGGTCTCTAAAACTCTGAGTGATGAACCAGAACGTCTGACATGTGGCAAGTCTGCAAGCGCTTCTAATTACAGCTGGAGGGCCAAAGTTTCGACTTAAATCCCCAACCCACTTCCTGCTGGCACAGAAACATGTAGCCGCCTCGCTTGTCCTAGTTTCTGATGATTTAATACAGCCAAGATTTGGTGGGAGTCCCTGGGTAATGTCGTAAGCTGGCTTCTGTCAAGCTACTGCTTAACTTGTTATATGGAAAAAGAAAAGTGAATTACACATTAGAATGGTCTGAGGTTTGTTAACAGCTGTTAACATGTTCTGCTTGTTGTTTGGTTCATCGAAACAAAATCCATCGGAATCAACAGGGTGTTTACTTTAGTTTTCTTTTCCTCAGTGTACTGCTTTAATGTTGAGAAAAACAGCCTCATTAAGACGACGCCTGCTGCTGAAGGAAGTTTCTAAAGTGGCCACATAACAACAGATGAGATCATGTGAACAGCAGAGGACAGACTAGAAAAGCATCACAGTGGTTTGGACGGCTGCTATATAAAACAACTAATTTCAAACCATTTGACATGAAATGATGCGTTATAGAAAAACTTACCTAGATTTCTTTACAGTGGTGGTGAGAGAAACCAGTGGTCACTATGTCTACAATGCAAATATAGTCATTTTACTTACTATCCAAAACAACCAGTGAACCTACATGTGTTTATGTATAATATTGTGAATGTTAAATTAGGGACAAATCAAAAATTATGTGTTCTTAAATGTCCTACTGTGCCTTACAATGTCGTTCATTACCTCTTTGTTCTTTGTCTATTTTTAAAAATATGTTTTAGGCTAACACCTTATTTTAACTAACATAAGACAGTGACATTATGCAGTATATTCAGATATGTTTTATGTAATAATTTCTGTGATGTAGCTTTTAGAGGCATTAAATGCTTCAGATGTCTGATTCCTATCACCACCTTTGTGAACAATTCTGACTCTGGAAGTGTCTCTAGAACAGAGTATTTCACATCAAACAACTCTGAATGACCTTGTTTACATCATAATGAATAAGTTTTGCAGAAATTCACAAAAATTGGTGTTGTTTCCCTTTAATCATCATCCTAACAATGGCTTTCACAACAATGCAAGAGGCTGAAGTTTCTCACAAATTACTCATTTCAATTGTGTGCTTTGAGCATCCTGACCAATCACAGATGATTCAGATGAGAAGCCATGAGCATCTTAGTGCAAGACATTCAAGTGATCCAACGAATATAAGCATTTTGGTCAAAAATACCGCAGGCCCATTGTTATCCACTCCTCAAATGTGTTTTGGATAAATTGCAAGGAATACTGCAACTGCAGTATCTTGTAATGTAATCACAATTTGGTATTTTGCCACCCTAACCCATTTACCAACCTGCATCTGCCTCAGAGACAATCATCCGAACAACTCAAAGTTTCATGACAATAGTAAGTAATAGGAGCCCAACATTCAATATTAACCCCAGAACCCACGTGTGCACTACATACCTGTGTTTGCGAGGGCCGGAAGGTGCAGCTGAAGCTCTGCTGCAGTGAGTCTAGGAAGGGCTGGATCTTGTAAAGACCCTGGTTGCCACCTTGGCTTGAACGGAAGGCCACAATATGGAAGTATTTGAGGATCTTCTCGAAGCGTGCCTGGCTCATCTTGAGCGCTATGCTGCGGTTGCTGAAGAAACCGCTGCTCCAGATGCTCAAGACAGATTCACAGCGGTGCACACTGGTGGAGATGACAAAGCCCAGGAAAGCCTTCATCTCGGCCGGAGTCACATTGGTCCAACCCTCGTCGCTGCCAAAGCGTTCTTGGTATTTCTTGGCGTACATGTTGGTCTGAGTCACCATATTCTGGATCACATTGTCTGGTACAAACAGCTGGAAGAAGTCCATGGCTGTGGCAGTGGCCGGCATTTTCTGGGTAGGACCTGTTTTAGGAAATTAACAGAGCTGAGTCAGTGCGTGCTGGTACAAAAACAAGTCTACAGTGTACTGTACACCATTGTGAACTAAGATTTGAAGTAGAGGAATTAAACTGTATCCCTTAAAGCAACAGCTCAGAGAAACTGAAATTTAACATTAGCTTCACAGCTCCAGTGCAAAACTAAAGAAGCAAACTCCACGTCTTTGATGACTAACTACATTTGGGTGTAATAGGAAAAAACATGCATATTTGACTTTAGTGCTGAACCATCCCTTCAACCTTTCCTTATTCAGGCATGTACTTTTTGCTCCTAGCTGGAAATTACACTTTGCTTTTATTTAAAAGTGACTTGATCAACTGGCAGTGGTACATGATGACAACAGTGCAATGCACTTGTGTATGACATGTGCCTGGGAGTCAATCCCAAAAAGAGTCAACTCTCTGATTCCATTCATTTGGGAATCTACAATCAACTTAAAGGTTTTGGACTCTAATCCACACAGAGACATTTAAGTCAATGACAACACCCCCATGCACACGGACTGTGATACATTATGCTGTCACTGTCTAGACAGCCAGTATGAAAAATGCATCCTTCCACAACAAATGCATCAACAGACTGGCTGTATTTTGCTTTGGACAAAGTGGAAGAAGTAAAATGTTCAATTTGTAACAAAAACATGCCTCACAATCAGTTTCACCAGTGCTGAAATACCTACCTGCCCGAAGTTAAGAGAGGAAAAACAGGGTGTGTTCAGCTAATCCCCAATATTCAGCTAAGTTCATTTAGCTAGCGTTAGCTAACTAGAATTAAAAATACTCACATTGTGTATCCCTGAAGAACAACTGAGTTGGCAGTGCATGATGCCATTCATGCCATTAATCATAATAGTGTATTACGTACTTAATATTGTCCTTTTTTGTTGTCAGATCTCCATGTTTTGCTTTGAGCATTAATAACAAGAACTGAGAAAATTATTTCATGTATTATTGTGTAGATCAATTCAAATTACTTGGAATCGACATCAGAGTCAACTCCAAAATCTCTGTAATGGAACAGCTCTACATGGGCTCCTAGCAAAAGTCACATGTCCAGTCTATTCATTAAAGCACAAAGTATGCTATCTGTACTGGTACTCAGAATCAACAGGCACTTGAGTTTGTGTGCTCTGAGTGCTCCTGGTTGGGAAAAACAATGTCAGAGCCTCTCTACTCAACAAAGCTCGACAAGCTTTATGTTATGATCCTTCACTGCAACTAGGCAACTAGCTTCTCTACAGCCAGTTCACCTGTTCTATCACTGCAGCAAATTCTCTGCACCGAAAAACAACAGCAGAGGTCAACTGCTCTGCATCTAATGAGCTGATGCCCAGTGTCTTCCTAAATGGGCAATCCAGTCTAAAACTAGAGTTTAATATTGTTTATCATCTGACAGAATTCACCATTTCATATTAGTTTCATTCATTACCATTCTCTCTTTGCAGTACCCAGCATGCCCTGTACAAAAACATCATACAATTATTAGGAATTCCTGTGGTGTCAACGAATCCTGACTGCTAGCCTAGCCGCTAATCTACAGGCTAATAAATGCAACCAAGTTAGCATTAGCATAGCTCTTAACATTGTCATCAAACAAAATCATAAAGAGGACAGCAATTCTATCTTTACTGGACAAAGAGACAAATGCCTTTTTTCAAAAATTCAAAAAATGCTTTATACCTTTTTAATCAGAGAAAAGAAGCCAAACTGAGTTAAGGTATGTAGCCAGGTAGCTTTGCTAACATTAGCTTTTAACTTGTTGTCCTCCTCATCGGACAAGTCATTTCTGTCATTTGAGAAATCCGTTCTCTCCTTCATAACGATGATGTTACCACAGTTACCACAGTTATACGGCTGCAATAAGACCTTCCTAGCAGTAATGTTAGCTTTCTGATTTTAGATATTTAAAAACAGCCCCGAAGCAGTTGTAGTTTTTTGAAAACGTCCTACAACCCCAGAGGGGGTCTTAGTCTTTAAACTGGAAAAGCTCACTCTAGAGACTACTGTAGCACCCTAATTGGAGGAGACTAGTCTCAAAACACGAAGATATCTGTTTAAAACATGTTCACTGAGTTACTGCCAGTTTTGCTGTAAAAAAAACACTTACAATTCTGATTCAAGGAGGCCATTTTTACCAGCATTTCATGTTTGTACCACAGATGGAACGTAACTGAAATCCCTTATCAGAGCTACGGTACTAGATGTAGAGTCTTCTAATGATGCATGTAGGTTCTGTCATGGCGATGAAGAGATAACGAACTATGGGACTGTGTGGAACCATGGTAAACAAACTTTGGGTTAGCAGTGCTATCCAGACATCTAGCCCACTTATCTGCATGGCTTAGACGAGAGATCATATTGCATTGATATTGCTATATAGTGCGATATGCACAATGCTCAACACTTGATGTCACAAGGTTAAAGATTCGCGGGCATTACCTTCATCAAAAATAGTTGTTGGATCGATCAAATAGGATCATGATTCATCAAAACACCCACAGAAATGCAAAATCATATTGTGCATCTGATTTAAACATCTTATATATATAAAAATCTTGTGACTGCTTAAAGGGCTCATTGACATATTGTAGCCTTTTGCAATATCAGTGTTCAGGTCAGTATCTTGTGTTATAAAGTCCTTTTTGACAAACACAGCTTGCTTGATTTGCCTGTAGCGGCCGATTTCAGGGCCGAGCATCAGTCCCTACGCATTCCCAATGAGGCTGAGAGGGCGTGGACACCCTAGTCTGTTGTATTAGGACTGTATATAGGGAAGTAAACGATGTCATTATTCTCTGACTAATGCAGAAGAGATGCACAGCCTTCTGACTCACAGCTCTGCCACACCTGTTATTAAATGGTTGAAACTGTTTGCAATAACAAACCAGTGAATGTCAAAAACAGCACTTATTTCCTTCATGATTGTCAAGTGATTTTGTGTCGTCATTCTTCGAATAGGGACAGTCATAAAACAAGGCAATATGATAAATAAAGGTGATTGGAAGACCAAAGACAAACAGCATTTACACTAACAATACTAACTACTGTAAGTGTCTTTTCACAAATAGTTCTTTTAAATGAACCAATCATGAAATCATGATTTCAGGTTCATGAAATCATGAAATAAATGAACCTGTTTCTCAATGTGGCTCTCCTAATACACCATGTCTGTGTGGCAAAATATCATGATATGTATTGTTTATTTTGAAAATATCTTTAAATACTGTGATATGATTTTTTTGCCATATCACCCACCACATGTACGTTTACTGGTCATTTTGAATAGCAAATACAATGACTGCATTTCTATGACTATATATAGTCATATGCAAAGGTCTGCGCTCCTCTGGTCAAATTACACATGAAAATAAGTGAACACATCTTTTACAGAGAACACACTTCTGCACATTTTAATGCACAACTACTGTTTGCTTGCTGAATGTAACCTATTGGAAAAAATAAAGTATAAAATGTGCCATGTGCAAAAGTTATCCCTCACAAAAAGGTCATAAGTTTCAGACTTAAATAACACAAAGGTGGTTTAAACTTCTGAAAGGTTTCAGTGCAGATGAGTGCCGACAACACAACAAGGGGATACAATGTGTGGGGTTTGGCATTATCCCCAACATAGCAGTGTCACGAATATCATCACAAATGATGTTTTATTCAAAATAAACCTGGGTAATCATTAATATGTTAAAGTTACTGGAAACAAACAAATAAACATTCTCATTTGTACAAAAAAAAACATCTCCGGTGTAATTGCAGGTGTTATTATAGATCCCCACTACATCATAGCTGTTGCCTGTGATATAAAGGTCATGAGGTCAACACTGCTGCATTACATTTACCAAGAGCTTCAAGCCCGGCTGAACTTGTAAAGACCCTTGTCAAACCAGTGGCTAATAGAGGTCACTCAAGCAGCAAATAATGAGCGTACATCAGTGCTGTGCGCTGCAAGTCTTATCAGCTAATGAGTATATGCAGTCCAGGAGCAGCCATCACACAGAAAGCACATCAAAACACACTCATCTGTCTGCTCCTTCTCTTTTATCTAATGCGACTAATGGCCGTTCTGTCAATCAGAGGTGATAAAAGGAGCTCAGGCGAACATGAAACAAATAGGCTGCCCAGTTGGGGAAGTAGCTCAAGCTCAGATTAATGTATTCTAAAGAACAGAGGATGTTAAGCTGCAGTGTAAAACCAGAAAATGATACTTAGATCCAGCAGTGTGCTACCTGTTTACGCTCAGCATTATCACACACTTTTAAACATGCGCAACATAACAGGGACCTATCGATATACATCTTTCAGCTCATAAAATCTCACAAAATCTTCGTATGTTGAGGTTCCACAGATTTATCAGCATCCCACCAATAATGCATCTGGAGGTTTGGAGACCTCTCTAGTGTAATTACATGCACATTGCGTTGCAGTATTTTGTAAAGTCAGTTGCGCTCCGGCCCCCGCCCCCGAGCAGATTGATCTGATGATTGTGAGCATGATTTTTGAAGAGAATTCGAAGATAGTTCTGTTAAAGCTTGTAAGTGGGAGGATGTAAGCGAATTAGCTACTGTTATCATCATATCCTCATCAGTAAAATGCTGACTTTGCATTTGAGACCTAAACTTTGAGCCGGAGCTTCTTTTTCACTGTGTGTGTAACGTTAATGCATAAAGATGCATGACATGGTCCGAAAAACTCCCATGAACACTGACCCAACACCTCTGACTTTTAAATGATTATTTCAAGTTTTCCTAGTTTTTTCCTAGTGATGTAGTAAAGCTACTTCTTTTCATTTTAACAAAAAAAGTGGCCTTCTATATATGAAGGCTTTTGTTCTGCTTTAAATGCCACTTTTTTGGCTCATATATATTGTGGGGAGTGTGCTTTACACATACAAGAAATACAAATGCTGTATTATGATTAACCTCCCCTTTTTTAGAAAGAAAATTTGTTTTTGAA